TTCAACTCTTTTTTTTTGTTTTGTTTCTTGTTCGATAGCTGATGGCCATTTTTTTTTTTTTTTTTGATTCGTTTGCCATTTCCATCGATTTATTATTCATTTGTTTGTCCATTTTTTTTCTGTTTTGTTTTATTGCATACATCAATGACATTTTTAACAAATGTATGAATAATAAATGAATGTGTGAATGGCCAAAATGGAATCGAATAGTATTACGGTATGTATCATTTACAGTAGTAGTTTGAGTGGGGTAATTATGGTGTAAAAAAAAAATAACCATAAACATTTTCCGAGATTGCGCTTTTCATATTGTTAAAATCAACATTCATTCATTCAGGGGATCCTTATTGATTTTCTCCTTGTTCAATACTAAATTTTGTTTTTTTTAGCAACCAGAAAAAAAACAACATTTATAAAGGTCATTGAAATCATAAATTGTCAAGAAAATTGAACTTTCACTACAGGTGTGAAAAATTTTTTTATCTTTATACATCTCACATTTGATTTGATGTATGAGAGAGATAGGTATACCTGTGTGTGTGTGTATGATGTGTGTCTGTCTGAATGGGTGATCGTAGGTTTTCATTTATTCATTTCAATGGAAAAAAAAGTACAATTTTTTTTTATTTTATTTTTGCCAAATCAAATCTTGATATAATAATATTAAAAAAAAAAGAAAAGTTTTTCTCGGAAAACTTTCCGAAAAAAAAACATTCACGTGAATCCAATGTTTTTTTTACTGGTTGGTTATCCCTTTTTTTATGATGATTGTTTTTGTTTGTTATTTTTTTTTTTGGTGAAACAAACACAAAAACAATAACAACAACAACAACAACAACAAATTTTTTTTCTGTACAGTTTATCGATATTTTTTATTATTATTATTATTATTCGATGATTGATTCATCAAACATATATATAAAAATATATCGCGCCAAGGCAAAACAAAACAAAACAAATCAAATCAATCATCATCATCAACATTCGATGTGATTATCATCACCATTATCATTTTTTAGACGCACACATTAACATCGATGTCGTAAATATTATTATTATTGTATGACAAAAACAACAACAACAACGACAGCAATAATTATCGATTTTAAGATTCGATGAGATATAGTGGGCAATAAAAAAAACAACAACAACAACAAGTGAAAAAAAAACAATTCTCAAGAATATGAATCATCAATGAATTGATGAATATTTCCAATTTTGTTTATTCATCGATTGTGAAAACACTTGAATATATGAACGATGACTTTTTTTGATGATGATGATTCGGTTAGAATTGTTTTCGAAAGAATGAGAAACAACGAAAAAAAAAATTTGTAAAAATATTTACAGAAACAAAAAAAAAAAGAAAAAGGTGTGAAAAAAAAATTGTATCCAATTCAAATAAAATCATCATTTGTGTGTTAGTGGGTGAAGTGAAATGGAATGAAATAAACTGATGATGATGATGATGATAAATTCTGTGAAATTCAAATCTTTTTTTTTGTTGTTGTTTCTCAATTCAATAATTCTCAATAGTAGTGTTTGATTTTTTTTAGCAATAATCATTTGTCCTTGATTGTTACCATAATAACGATGTTGTATAATAATAATGATGCTGATGATGATGATGATGATGATTCACTGATTATTGAATTTTTTATTTCTTGTGAAACTTGTCATTCTCGCAAAATTATTATTATTATTACATTCATCATCATCATCATCGTAATCAGCAAAAAAACGGAAAACCAGTCTTTTTTCTTCATCATCGATTAATGGTGGTTGATTGAATAATTTGAAAATGGCTAATCAATGATAGAATCAATCGAATGGAGATGAAATGAATCGACAATCGTTGATTAATTGATTGATTGATTGATTCGATGTAAAGAAAAAAAAACGTGTTACATTCTTTTCTATTCGATTCATAATTTTTTTTCGCTGCATATTTAATGTCATGATATAATATCTGGTTTCCATCAAAATGAATATATAAAGATTATCATCAGGGAAAAAACGTCAAATTCGTTGATAGAAACACAAAAAAAAATCAATAAATTTTCATTGTTTTTTTTTATTATTCTGCCGGTCGATATTGTTGTTGTCACAATGTTCTTGGTCTGTCATATGAAAAAGAAAAAAAAATTGTCAAATTGTGGAAAAAATAATACTTTGGACTTTGAACCAATTTCGAAAAATAAAAAAAATTCAAATGGTTGAAATGATTAATTGTGTGAAATCGGTATTTGATTATCATGATAAAAAAAAATTTGTTCAATTCAATATCTGAAATGAAAAATGAAAAATCATTGGATTAAGATTATCATCATCATCATCATCATACCATACCATTAAGTTGGTTATAAACTCGTGATTGGCTTGAAAAAAACCAATCAGCCAATTCATTCATTAATCAATGTTTGGTTTGTCGTCATCATAGCAGACAACGGCTATCTATTCAGCTATAATCATCAATCCAATGAATGATCATCATCATCATCATGATTGTCAAGGGATGGACATTATTGATGATTGACAATCGATGTTATCGATATAAAAGCATTATTATTATCGATGTATTTGATCAGAAAAATATTTTCTTCATCGATAAAACAGAGAAAGAAAGGGATCAATATGAACTTGATTTGTATGCATATGTATCATTTCATGCATGTAGATCAAGCATGATGTACAAATGATTAGAAAAAAAAGTATTGATTATCATCATTTTTTTTCAAGGAAAATTTTTTTTTTTTTTTTTGATGACAAATTCTTTTTGTTTCAAGTTTAAAACATAACAAATTGACAGCCACTAATCGATATTTACCGACCGATTGTATCGATTGTTTCAAATCGACAATATTCACCAAATTAATTAATTAATTAATTAATCTCTTGGTTGACAACAACCACTACAAAATGATGATAAATCAGAAAAATTTTATCTGTCCATGTTTCATCATCATTATCATGAACATTTACATCAATATTTTTTTTTCACCAATTAGATTTACATTTTGATTTCAAAATTTTGTCATCGTCATCGTCATAGTCCTATTCATATTTTTTTTATTATATATATAAACACATGAAAATAGTGGTCAATCAATGAATCCAGCATAGGTAAACCATCATTATCTGTACACAATTTTTTTTTTGGAGATGCAAGAGATGACTGTTTATAGTTGACTTTAATCATCATCATCATCATCAGTTATTTTTTAGTCTGTAAGTAATATGTGTGTGTGTGTGTGTGTGTGTGTGTGTGTGTGTGTGTGTGTGTGTACCTTTTGAGAAAATAAAATTCATCCACCATAGTGATAATAAGCTGTATCAGCATTGAAATGAACAAAAATTATTATTATTATATTCAACCAACTGATATTAGCATGATTATTTTTGTTTTTCTTCGATCATGATGATGATGATGATGATGATTGAGACATTGAGATAGTGATAAAGAGAAAGAAAGAAAGAGAACCCTCTCATGAACATTTTGTTTGTTGTGCATTTGATCGATGATATATTCTTCAAGTTGTTGTCGTTGTCGTGGTTGTTGTTGTTGTTGTTGTTGTTGTTGTTGTTGTTAAGCATATCTTGATGGTAGTCGTTTGTACATCATCATATACAGAAACAAAAAAAATGCACACAAACACACACGGTGATCATCATCATCATTCCATATATAAATGAAGGATGATTCAATTCATTTTTTTAAATATAAAAAAACTCTCTCTCTCCGTGTGTGTGTGTTTGTATATGAATGTTTCAAGGGAGAACGATAAATCAAATGAAATGAAATGAAATAAACGGACATTCATTCATTTGTTGTCGTTCTCTCAGTATTTATTTTTGAATTTTATTGGTCTTGTTTCTCTCATCATCATCATCATCATCATCATCCACATCGTCGTCATCTGTTCATTTTCATTCATAATAAACCACAAATGTATAATTGATACAATAAACAGAAACAAAAAAAAAATTTATCGATCCAAAATTAAATAACGAAAACTGAAAAAAACAAATTTAGTAACAGGAAATATTTTCGAAAGAAAAAATCGAATGTTTACGTTTCTTTTTGTGTGTGTGTGTGTGTGTGTTCCGTAGAAAATTTCTTTTCCAAATTTTACAAATTTCGTTTCCCATACAATCTGTTTTAAAAGTACCGGTAAATGAAAATTATTCAAATTTTTTTCTCATTTTTTTTTCAATTTCTTTTTTTTTTTTTTTTATCCCAGGTTCATCATAGCATTTATGTAATCGACCGGCAACTTCATTATCGTCATCATCATTATTGTCCATTGTTTTTTTTTCTCTTGCGTTTCATTGAAGTAAATTGAAAAAAAAAATTATTATCAACAACAACGACGAAAACAACGAAAAACAAAAATCGTTTTTCATCAATGATTAATATCAACAAACAAACAAAAAAAAAAATTATTTTCATTCACAGTCATTATTACAAAATCCAGTGACAATTTTGTACTTTTGTATACTTGTGACAACGTTGTGTGCCTCATATGTTTTTTTTTTACGATTTCAAATTGGCTCCCGTCCGTCCGTCCAAATCAACATTTCTCTCTTGTTTTATGAACACAACATAGATACGAATGTATTTTCATATATTGCAATCATCATCATCACACAATTAATCACTTTCATTCATTCATTCATTTTTTTTTTTTTTGGCCAAACGATTATCGTATGCGCGTGGACTAGGAAATTGAGATAATAAGAAAAAAAAATTTTTCTTCATTTTGGTTTGAATTAAATCAGAAAACAAAAAACAGAAAGAGTCTATATATTAAAGTAACGAAACAAACGAAAAAAAAAAAATGTCATCATTATCATCTTCATCACAATCTTTAAAATCAAAAAGAGACATGTTTCTTTTTGGAACATCCAACAATAATAACAATATCACATCATCATCGGATGTCAATGGACTTGGACCATCATCATCATCATCATCATCACCAATATCAGCAACAACAACACCACCACCACCACAACCACCACAATTATCATCATTGTCACAGGTCACAATAATGAAATCATCAAATGATGGTGGTAGTGGTAATAGTGTTGGCGATGGTGAATCAAGTAGTGGTGTTGGATCGATACGTTCATCATCATCACCACCATCATCATCATCATCATCATCATCATCATCACAACAACAAAAACAACAACCATCACCACAACCACCAAGATATTTGGAAACATTTCCAAATGTCAATCATTTAAATCAATCTCATCAACAACATCGACGATATTTGGACCAAACAATCGATACTAATCATAATCATCATCATGATGATGAGAATCAATCATTAATCGATAAATATGAAAAACCGAAAATTGTTGAATCATCATCTAGACAAAATGGCCAATTATATTCATCGCCACCACCACCACCACCACCACCATCATTACCACAATTACCATTATCATCATCATCATCATCGAATAATTGGCATTTTGAAAAAAATAATAACAATGTTATGTTGACCAATATGGAATCGATAGCGAAAAATAAATTACAAATGAATAATAATGGTGATTCAATAATAAATCGATCAAATCAACACCGGCAGCAGCAACAACAACTACAACAACAACAGCAATCAACCAAAGATGGTGTTGAATTAATATGGCGTAATCTTTCTTATCATGTATCACGTTTTCAATGGAAAACATTTATAAAGAAAAAAGGACGTGGTAATACACATAAACGTTTATTGAATACAATTAGTGGTTCAATGCGTGCCGGTGAATTGATGGCCATTATGGGACCAAGTGGTGCCGGTAAAACAACAATGATTGAATGTATTAGTGGCCGTCGTCGTCGTGGTGTTACCGGTGATATTGTTGTTGCTAATTGTACTAAACGAACAAAATTAGCATATATGGCACAAGATGATGCATTCATGCCTTGTCTAACTGTTTATGAAACATTATTGTTTGCATCAAAATTACGTAATTATCAACGAAATAATCGATGTAAAGTTAAATTGATCGATGATAATGAAAATGTTTATAATGCAACAACATATCCGGATTCCAATTTGGTCATTAGGTCTGTGGATTCTTATGAAAAAAATGCTATCAATATTGCTACTACTACTACTACTACTACTACGCTTCGGTTATTGATAATAATGATAATAATGCTTTATTTGATGATGAAACCGGCTGCTGTGGAAGAGCAGGAGGCTTTGCATGGTTATTTTCATTTCTTTATTTCTTTTACATTTTTTTTTTCATTTCATTTCGAAATAGAATTTTTAATCTTTTTTCGTTTTGTTGTTGTTGTTGTTGTTGAATTGAATAGTTTACCCGATGGTACATATCATCGTAATTTGGTCAATCAAATTATAAATAAACTTGGCCTTGATCAATGTCGTAATGTTAAAGCAGAAAATTGTAGCGGTGGTCAACAGAAACGATTATGTATTGCATTGGAATTGATACATTCACCAACCATCTTGATTCTGGATGAACCAACAAGTGGTCTTGATTCTGTATCATGTTTACAATGTGTTAGTTTATTAAGAGAATTGGCACATAATACAGAACAACCAATGGCCATTGCAGCATCGATTCATCAACCAACGGCAAGAATTTTACAAAACTTTGATCGTCTTTATGTGTTGGCCTATAATGGCCAATGTATGTATGATGGACCTACTGATCAATTGGTATCATATTTAAGTAGATATAAATTATCCTGTCCAACTTATCATAATCCGGCTGATTTTGTACTTGAAGTTGCTACCGGTGATTATGGCCATGAAGTGATTAAACAATTAGTTAATGATCAAACTACACAACATCAGAAAGGATGTTTAATGATTAAATATTCAAATACAATATCATCAACAAAAAATAAACATTTGACATCGATGGATTCTAATCATCAAACATCAAAAGATTCAACAATTATTACTGTTGTTAATGATGGTAATAATAGTAATATTGATGATAATAATATTGAAACAACAACAATAACAACAACGACAATGATGATGAATGATAATGATGGTACACTGATATCGGATGAAGTACGTTTGTGGCCAGAAAATTGGAATGCTGACACTGTTTCTATAAATAAAATATGTCAAAGGTAAGAAAATTGATTGTAAAATTTTAATTTTTAACGAAAAAAAAAAAATTCTGCTTTTCATTCAGATCAAGAAAACAAATAAAACGTCGTGAATTCTATAAAACAATGTTATTATGGATGCGTTGTATGTTGCTATCATTTCGTGATCCAACTGAATATCTATTACGGATATTTGCAACCGTATCGATCATATTGCTCAATATTGTACTTTATAATGATAGTAAAATGGGACAAGCTGATGGCTGTTCACAGGACACCATTATGCATATGGTCAATACAATACGTTCTGATTATGATGGTAATCAATCATTTTCATTGGCCAATTCATTTCTAGAAGGACCAGGTGCAATGGCAATATTGAATTTTGGTTACATTTTTTTTGCAATGACATTCTGTTCATTTTTATCAATGATGCCAACAATATTAACATTTCCATTAGAGGTGGGCGTTTTTTATAAAGAATATTTCAATGGATGGTATTCATTTAGTTCATATTTTTTGGCCAAAAATTTTACAAATCTTTTACCTGCATTAATATTGCCAATATTATATGGATCTACTACATATTTGATTACAAATCAATATTGGGAAACATGGAGATTTCTTTATTTTATTGCATTATTAATAATGATTTCATTGGTTGCCGATGGTCTTGGTAAGTTATCTTTTATACTTTTATACACATTTTTTCATTCATTCATTCATTCATTCATAGTTTCATTTTATTTATTGCATCTTTTTTTTTGCCCCCTGTATAAAAACAAACAAACAAACAAAAGTTTGACACACAAAGACAGCCATTTTTTTATTTACACACAGAGAGAGAGAAAAAAAACAAACAAACAAACTGAATGAATGAATGAATGAATGGATGATAAACAACAACAACAACAACAACAACAACAATGTGTCCCATTATATATACTGTTCCAAGGTTTTGTTTTGTTCATTGAAAAAAAAAGAATATTGAGCTTGAATATCAAAAAAAAAACCAACAAAAGCAATAGGTTAGCCAAAAGTAACAAAAAAAAAAAAATTTCATTTCATTTTTTTTTGTACATCCACCCACCACCACCACTGTTTATTTATCGATCACTATTTATATATATATGTGTATGATCGATCTATCAATCAATCAAAAAATATTTCCGTTTAACGATATGATTTGATTGATAAAAAATTGAATGAATGAATGAATGAATGTGACAAATAAGGTAGAAATAGAATCGAATTTTTTTTTTTTTTTTTTTGATATCGTTCACAAGAGACGGGTAACATCCTGTATTTATTATCATCATTGATGATGATAAATGAAAATGATATCGATAACCATACTATTCGATGTTATTGATAATGTTTATTGTCATGGCCATTGTCATCGTCATCATCATTATCATATGATTTTCATTCAAAATCATGTATATTTGTGCTTTTAAAGTGAAACGAAGAAGAAAAAACAGCAAATTATTATAATTATTCACATACAAAAAAAAAAAAAAAAAGAATGCCAAGAGCAACCGACAATGAATAAAAAAAAAAATAACGTACACGTTTTCTGAAGGATATTCAAGTTTGTTAGTTTTTTGTTTTGTTTTTTTGTTTAATTGTCGCGTTCACTGACTAATTTGCTTAGTTTTTAATTTGTTACCAGATGATGATGATGATGATGATAATTATCATCAAACAACAAGAATGAATGATGAAGGAAAAAGATTTGTAATGAAGATTATATATGATAATTATTATTATTACTCACTGAGATTTTCTTCGGAATTTTTTTTTTAAATTTTTTTTCCTCTTTTTTGCATGATTATAATAATAATAATGAATTTTAATTTCAATTTCTCATTTTTGTTTGTTTTGTTTTTCTCATATAGGTTTAACAATATCGGCAATATTTGTCCACAATGTTAATGCGGCCAGTATATTTGCTGCCACATCACAGATACCATTGTTATTGTTCACTGGATTTCTGGTACAGATCGATCAATTGCCACGAATCATACAGCCGCTTACATATTTAAGCTATTATAGATTATTTTTCGAATCAACCGTCATAACATTCTATGGTTTTAATCGTTGTCCAGAACCGGAACCATTTGATTTGAAACGTATCCGTTCAATAATGGGCGATGATGCTGAAGAAATGATGGATTGTGTATGGCAGAATACGAATTTTTTCGATTCATCCAGTGGACCATCATTGACTGATCGTTTAGAAAGAATTCTATCAGCATCGGAAAATCAAAATCCATCATTAATATTACAAAATTTTCATTTACATGAAAAGGATTTACCATTCTTAATGTGCCTATTGGGTAGTTATGCAATTATTACACGTGTACTTGCATATATTGTATTGTATCGAAAAGCTAATTCAAGACGATAACATAATTGATGGGAATTATGATGGATTACAACAACAACAACAACAATATGAAGAATACTCTTTTATTGCAGAAAAATTTTTCTAATTTTTTTTTCTAATTTTCTAATTCACCAACATCCATCAACACAAGCACAAATATCTCTTTCACACACCCCCCCCCCCACACACACACACCTACAGACCTATTATTATTCTCACTCATAATGTGATCTTATTATTATATTCTAATATATAAATGATATAATACAATTTCTGGAAAAAAAACTTAGGGGCATGGACAACAACTGAAAACTATAATTTGGATATTTTTTTTTCTTTGTTTTGTTTTGTATTTCAATGATGAAAATTTTCTTGTTTTTTTCTGTGTTTATGTGTGACACGTGTGACACATTTGCATTGCAAACAATAAACAGACAAACAAATAGCAACAAGTGAAACAAGAAAAAAATTTTAATTTTTGTGATGACCATATTATATGATTATTATGAAATTAAATTGATAATTATTATTATTAATTTCATCACATTCATTTCCGGGAGAGAGAGAGAGAGAGAGAGAGAGAGGAAAGGTTTTCCAACATAATCAATTTGGTGATAATCCTATTCGATGATCAATCAATCAATCAATTGTGTACAAATCAATTAAATTGTCAAAGAAAAAAAAATTTGCTAATCAATCACTATATTGGTGGGTACTTTTTTTCCGTTTTAGGGAAATTAAAAATTTTTTTTATTATTCAAGGATCGTCAACGATGATTATAATATGGCAATATGATGATATGAACGAGAAAAAAAAATACTGGTCACCAACAATGACCATTTTTTATTTTTTCCTTCGAATTTTAACATAATAAAGACGAATTTGATAAATGAAAAATAATGGTAAACAAACAGCATATAGGATCCATATGATCCAGCCAAAATTTGTGGATGATAACGATGGTTTCATGATCAGTAGTATGATCAGAAATAATGTTTCGAATAATGTCAAAGTAAATGATTGTCGTAATACACCGATAAAACCGATAAAATGAATGATCATTGCAACAAATGTAACAACAATTACTGTTAATAGATTTGATTTCTGTTCCGATACCATGGACAATTCATTGATCAATGATTGTTTATCAATATTGTTCATAGACAATTGATCTGTTGTCGTAACATTTTGCCGTATTCGTAACATTATTTCATCATATTGTGGCATAAGTGATAATCGTTCACAATCTTTATCGGATAATGTACCGGAATAATCGATTAGAAATTTTATCCGTTCCAATAGATTTACTGATCGTTCATATGAGGAAATTTTTTTCAATAAATACCATAATGTTAATACATCCAATGTGAACATTATCAATATGAGACAAACGGCGGCTAAACCAAGTTTATTTTGCCATCCAATTGGTTTCATTGTTGATGATGATTGTTTTGAATTCGGATTTGTTATGGTGGATACAATCTGTGTCTGTGATGATGGTAATCCATCCATTTGATTGATTTGTTCATCTACAGATGGCGTTATCTCGATTGTTGGTAAATTATTGTTTATCATCATTTGCAAATTAATAACAACCGGGTTCATTATAATCATTGGACAGTGAATACTTTGTGTAAAATGAATTTTAATTATGACAGTGAGACGAATGAAAAACACTGAAAAAACAAACAAACAAACAAACAAACATTGGTTAAATTAGCCATGAAACAACATCGACGAAAAAAAAAAACTTACTTTGCTTCTATTTCTAAATTAGATTCATTCATTCATCTATTTGGTTGATTTATGTTCATCACCATCACCATCACCACCACACCACCACCACTCTCTTCATTGAATATATGATTAGTGATCATGAATGAATGGATGATGATGATTATCGTTTTTGAGAATGTGAATTCCGAATTCCATCCAAGAATCACAAATCACACATTTGTAATTATAGCTATATATATGTTGAATTGAAAATGATTCTGTTATAAATTCTATAACAGAAGAAAAAAAAGAAGAAAAAAAAATTTGAACAGATATTTTCGACCGAAACAAAAAAGAATGGAAAAAAAAGACAAGCCGAAAATTAATGGTATTGGATGATTGAATGAAATTGATAGATTTTTTTTTCTCTCTCTCTCTCTCTCTCTCTGCCAATCATGCTGACTAAATCATAATTTTCATTTTGCTGATTCTTGTTTCTTTTTCATTTCTCACAAATTCATTACACATTTCATTTTTTTGTGTGTGTGTCTGTAAACAAACACTTTGATGAGTTTTCAGACCCAAAAAAAAGCGAGAGAGAGAGAGAGAGAGAGATGTTCCGTTTATGGATTCCATTGAATCGAATGATTCTTGATATGACGCCAACAACACCTAACCGATCATGGCGATCATTCAATGTATGTGCTTTTTGTTTTTGTTTTGTTTGCTTATTTAAATTTCCAAATCAAAATCATCATCATCATTTCATTCAATCAAAAATTTTTTTGTTTTTGTTTATTTCATTGACATTTCTAGGCCATTTCACTGATGGCCACTAATAATGATTTACATAAATCACCGGACATTGATTTAAATCCATTTGATCGACAAATTTCTGGCTTCAACTAAAATATTATTATAAGCAAAATGATGATTTCTTTTTCAAAATCCACTAATTGATAACGTATGGCTAGCAGTGACCATCATAATAATCACAACAATTTGTTATACATAAATTTTTTTTTGGTTCGTAATATTTAATCACATCAATATGTGTTATATATGTATACGTCATCAATGTATGTGCTTTTTTGTTTTTTGTTTTGTTTATTTAAATTTCCAAATCAAAATCATCATCATCATCATTCATTCAATCAAAAATTTTTTTTGTTTTGTTTATTTCATTGACATTTCTAGGCCATTTCACTGATGGCCACTAATAATGATTTACATAAATCACCGGACATTGATTTAAATCCATTTGATCGACAAATTTCGAAAATATTATTATAAGCAAAAATGATGATTTCTTTTTCAAAATCCACTAATTGATAACGTATGGCTAGCTGATAATAATCACAACAATTTGTTATACATAAATTATGACGCATCATATTGATACATTTTTGTTTCAAATCCGTATCCAGATAACAATTTGCTAGATCTAATAATTCTATTAAAGTTTGTTGTGTTGATGATGATTCTGCAAATTCCAATATATCGGTATAAAGATAACGTAAGTAAGCATAGAATACTTCATAGGAATATGTATGTAATTCAATTTTTTTACGAATTTTTTCCTGTTTCTGTTGTCCATTATTCTGTACATCAGCACTATCATATTCATTTTTATCCATTATCATTGCCGTTTCCATCCATTCATCTGAAAGCATTCGATTTAAATATTGGCTAGATAATTGTAGAAACCATTGATGAACATATATTGATTGGCCATCAATTATGAATTCTATATCCGAAGTGGCTTGATCATTAAATGATTGTCGTAATTTTTCAACTAAACGTGAACCAACCGTACGCATACGGATACGTTCTTCATGATCTAGATCATATAAAAATGGTGTAATACGTTTACGGCAATAATGTATGAATGCATCGTGTATAGAAATCAATGGTGTTTGTCGTGGTTCACGAATCGGTGGTGATGGTCTTTCAACATCGATATCCGTTTGTTGATGATGATTATGATGTGGTTGTTGTTCGCCTGGCTGTACACAATCACCCCATACATAACAATAGCCTGATGTTGAAATAGCAGCCGAAAAATTTGTAGCAAAATGTGATGCAATTGATTCGAAACGATCTTTACATGAAATTCGTACCGGTATTAATGATCCTTCACTACTAGATATTTGTGTACATCCTAGCTGCCATTGATCATTACGGCCACAGCTATAAATTTCACCGGTTATCATTAGAATTAATGTATGATATTCACCACAAGCAATCGATTTAACGGGTACATCATTGGAAAATTTAACCATCGTTGGTACGCTTCTGATGGGTACAATTACCAATACCTAATTGTCCGAATGAATTTCCACCCCATCCATAAAGTTTACCATGATCAGTAACGGCAAATGAATGTGAACTACCACATTTAATCATATGAATATTTTCCGAATCCAATGAAGATATTTTAACCGGTATTAATTGATCATTATTGGAACCGATACCAATTTGGCCATAATTATTACGGCCCCATGCAAATACTTGTCCAGTGTTTGTTAATGCAAGCGTATGATATGAACCACATGCCAATGATTGTATATGATTACCAACAAGTATTGGTTTTAATGATTCAAAAAATGTATTATTACCCAATTGTCCAAAACGATTATCACCCCAGCTATAGCATTCACCCAATTCAGTAACAGCCATAACATGTCTTTGGCCATAAACAATATCGATGATTTTTTGATTTTGAAATTCAACAATTTCTTCCGGTTTTTCACCATCAATTCGTTCACGATGTCCTAATGGTAATGATGGCCATCTATTATTTTCACCAAATGTATAGATGGTTTCGTTGGCAGTGATGATCAATACTTCAGTACCACGATCACCATACACAAGAAATGATTGAATTTGTTGAAGAAATGAATGTTTTAGTCGATGTAATATTGGCCAATTCAATAATAATGATGATGATTGGTGTGGATCATTGACGATAATCATTATCAATTATATTTTTATTAATAGCATTGATATTAGAAACAGCAAAGAAAAAAAAATGATAATTAATTCTCCACATAAACATCAATGCGAGATATAACTGTGAATTATCACAAATTTATCACAAAAAAAAATTTTGTTTTTGATGATAAATTGGAAAATAATCTTGAAAATGATGATAAAACTCTGAAATCGAAAATACTTTATCAATGAATGAATGAATGAATTGAATTGAATTGAATTGAATCGAATCGAATCGAATGCCAACATTGAATCCGTTTATCAACTACGACAACATTCTAAACCAATTTTCTATGTTCATCATTCTAAACTAGATTCAAAAAGAGAAACTAGATTTATCGAAAAGAAAAAAAACTGGATCCGATTATCTACATGTTTTACCCATCGCTGATATGATTAAAAAGTTCAAAATTTTCATCCATATACACCCACATGAATCAAATTTGGATGTGGAAAATGATTCGGCCAAATTATCGGGTGAACGACATCGACTTTTATCCAAACAAAATGATGATGATGATGATGATTCAAGCAACTATCGTACAATAAAGGTACGTAGTACATTTATATTTATTTATTTTTGACCACTGGATGACCATATTTTTTTTATGTGTGTGTGTGGGCGTTTTGCTTTCCAAATTTCTATAACCAAAAAAAAACCAGAAAAAAACTGGTTAAAAAAATTTTCAAACCAGGATATGAGACATCTATCTATCTATCGATTTATCTACCTACTATTATAGTAATCGAGAAAAGTGGGAAAACCAGTTTTTGTTTGTATCTTTCTCTCGGCAAAAAAAAACGTCGCGTGTTGTAAAAATGTCGTTAGACGCCATCTTTTGTCTGGAAATTTGAATTGACCAAAAAATTGAATTTTTTTTCTTGCTTGTTTTTTTGTTTATATTTGTGTTGAAAAAAAAATGTGGACAAATACAATTTGTTACAGATTTCATCATCGATCATCAATCGATTAGAAAACAATAATGATTTCAATCAATATACAGACAAAAGTTATTCCCAAATAGTCGATTATCGATCAGATTATATTTATAGATAGACAGCAAGAGAGAGAGAGAGAGATATTCATTGATTGATTGATCGATCGATTGATTAATTGTGTCGCCATTTTATTATTATTATTATTGAAATTCAATGTCAATGTTATCCTATTGTTTTTTATTTTGCACTCTCACTCTTTCAATCAATTTTTTTTTAATATCTAAAAGATAATCATCATCATTGATAAAGTTGAGAAAAAAAATCAACTTGATCCATAATTTTTTTTTCTCATCCATCATGAATGATCACATGACATAAATAAATCGTTTTATTATGATCGATTGATTGATTGATTGATTGTAATCGATTCTGGTAGCTGTTAAAGATTTATATTTAAATAAATTTAAGATTAAAACAATGAGACGATGATAATGTGAGTTTAATGAAATCAAAATTGTATATTGCTGTGATTTTTAACATTTGTCATCAAGTGACATCCTATTGATCATTTTTAAATGATGATGACATGACATACCTGATATAGGAGAGAGAGAGACACGATGATTGAATGTAGTGGTTCTGGTTGTTGGGTGTGGGGACAAAAAATGTACAGACAATTTTTATTTTTCTTAATTGATCGATCCGATTGTTTTTTTTTCTCTCTACAAATGGAATTACAATTAGATGATGATTTAATTAATAAAAAAAAATTGATATCAGGCACATCATGTGAATATAAATGTCTTTGCTTAATAATCTAGTCTTGTGATTTGTTCTTGTTCTATTTCTTCTTATTGATGGATGGATATTAATGATATTGGTTGATTTATCGATTTTTACCAATTTTTTTTGTGTCACTGATTTGATTTGTGATTTTAATTGATTTTATAATTTTCCATCTTTATATTTATTCAATTATGGACAAGAATAATAATGAAATATCCATGTCGTCGATGAAAAAAGATCCAAATGAATATTCGGATGATCATCATGATGTTGTTAAAAAACCAACAAAACCATTACCATATCCAAAATCGGTCATTTTTATCATTGGAAATGAATTCTGTGAAAGATTCTCTTTTTATGGAATGAGAAGTAATTTTGAATTTTCGTTTTATATTTTTGTTTTATTGACTAAAATTTTTCATTTTCATTTAGCAATTCTTATTCTTTATCTAATGAATCGATTAAGCTATGAAGAGAATGCAGCAACAATGGCATTCCATTTGTTTGCAATGGCCTGTTATTTTACACCATTAGCCGGTGCTATATTGGCCGATACAATTTTAGGAAAATATTGGACCATATTGATTATATCATGTATATATGTAGCTGGTAGTGTTGTTATTGCACTTTCATCGATCAGTGGTTCGAATCCATTAACGTTGATTGGATTGGCATTGATAGCGATAGGCACCGGTGGTATTAAACCATGTGTTGCTGCATTCGGTGGTGATCAATTTATTCGTGGCCAAGAACAACAATTACAACGATTTTTTTCATTCTTCTATATTGCTATCAATAGTGGTAGTTTGATATCAACATTTTTAACACCAATCCTACGTGAAGATGTTGGATGTATGGGCCGTTCTGATTGTTATCCATTAGCATTCGGTATACCGGCTATACTTATGATTGGTGCATTAGTATTATTTGTGGTTGGACGTTTTTGGACCGGTTATCGTGTTGTGCCGCGACAAAAACAGAACATAATCATCACTGTTTGTAAATGTGTTTATGTATGTATTGATTGTATATGGATGGTTTTTTTTCGAAAAATTTTAAATTGAAAAAAAAATCGTTTTCATTCTTTTGTTTTCCAGCATGCATTAATGGGAAAATTTTCACCATCAACCCTGAAACGAGAACATTGGCTTGATCATGCTGATCTTCATTATGATCGTCATACAATACTTGAAGTAAAAACATTGATGCGTATCCTATTTCTTTATATTTCATTACCAATATTTTGGGCACTATTCGATCAACAATCATCACGATGGACATTACAAGCAATACGATTGAATGGTGATTTTGGTTTCTATACAATAAAACCGGATCAAATACAGGTTATTAATCCGATATTGATTATTTCATTTATACCGATTTTTCAAAATATTATCTATCCAATTTTTGATCGAATTGGATTGAATAAACCATTACGTCGTATGGTTGTTGGTGGTTTATTTGCTAGTCTTTCATTCACCGCTTGTGGTATTTTACAAACACAAATTGAACAAAAATTACCACCAATAATGGATAGTGGTACTAATCATTTGATGTTAATACAAAATAATAGTCATCATCATATTGATTCTATGAACATGTCCATATTCAATGAATTGGATTCACGAATCAAATTCAATCAAGATTCATTAAAAATCTATACCAGTATTGAAAGAACAACATTGATGGATACATTTATTGTTCCAAATGATTTGAATATTTCATTGAAAGATGATCAAACATTGGTCATTTATTGTGATAATCAAGACAATGGTGAACAATCAACTCAACAATCAATGCCATTGATATTTGTTTTGGATGATAATGTTCTTAGTAAACCACATGGTAGTGGTGCACAAATGTTTACAATATTTAATTTGAATAATTTCAATAATGAAACATTTTCATCGACCGATACAAATGATAATGTTGTTATTGATACAATATTTCAACAGAATTCTAATACGACCAATGTCAATACAATTGGAATATTGAAACCATTCGAAGTGGAAGTGAAAGGAAAATCATCATATATGAATGTTGGCCATGCACAAACAGAATATAAACTTGATCAAGGTGCAACATATATACAATTGATCACTGGTGATATGACCAAAGTGGATAAAATTAATTTCAAATTAATACAATTAATTGATGGGAATAATATATCCGTATTATGGCAATTATTTCAATACATGTTGATAACGGCAGCCGAAATTATGTTCTCCGTAACTGGATTAGAATTTTCATATTCACAAGCACCAAAATCAATGAAATCTGTGATACAAGCTGCTTGGTTATTAAATGTTACCATTGGTAATCTATTGGTTGCCATTATTGCTGATGTTAAATTGTTTCCAAAACAGGTAAAAGAATGATTTTTATCAAATTTTTTTTTGTTTTGGATTGATTGATTGATTGATTTTGTTTTTTTTTCTATATAGTCAATGGAATTTTTCTTTTTCGCCATACTCATGTTAATCGATATCGGTATATTCGCTACACAAGCCTATTTTTATGTACCATATAAAGGTAGAGATTCTACTGGTCAACATTATGATTCAGAACCATACGATAATGATGATGGACGTCGTTCAAGAGTATGGTCAATGGTATCTGCTGAAGGTGAATTACCAAAATTGAATCCAGTCATACTTGATGACAATGAATATGATCATAATGCTACATGGACTAGTCGTACAAGTAGAACTAGAATTTAAGATTATAATCAGATAACAAAACAAAACAAAAAAAATTTGTACAAAAAATAACTATTATTTTGAATGGCCTCTTTTTTTTGTCTAAAAAAATAATAATAAACAATCATCATCAACCATAGTAGAGAAATTAATATCAAAAAATTATTATTTTATCGATTAATCGATGATTATTTTGTTTGTTTTCTATTTGTGTGTGTGTGTGTTGATTACAATGAATTAATCAACAGAAACACCTATCGCCTGTCATTTTTGGTGGTGTTTTTTTTTCTTTCTTTCATTCTTTCTAATGGTATTTGTGTGGGTGTTCAATAATGCGAAAACTGATCGATCGATCGAATTGAATCAAATCAAACGATATAATTCATCCACTGTGTTTGTAACATTACCAGAAAAATTAATTGTGTGATTAATTTTTTTTATTATTATTATTGGGCGGAAAATCTTAAATTCATCAAAAATGTTCAACACTGGTTTATTCAATTCAGAAGATACAAAATTGGACTATATACTTAAAGTGTCCACATTGGTCAATGTTTTCTGTTTGTTTGTTAATTCATTTTTTGGCTATTGGATTAGCGTGGATGGAACGGAATCGGATAAACATCATAATGATGATAATTCATCATGGACAACATTTATTGCCACTGCCATTATATTCTATATATTCATTGGTATTTTATCATTTTCAACATTCATAGCAATGTGTCGCCATTATTCACAATTTTTGATCATAAATGGTATCGTAGCATTCGGTTTATTCACTGTTGGATTATTTCATCCTGGTCTACGTGAAAATTTTTTCTGTTTTATACTATTATTTTTGGCCACATTTCAATACGTTTTATTGGGATTATATTATCAAACAATTGATCAATGTCAATTACGTCAACATGGTTATGATTGTCGTGGACGTTGTGTACAACAAGAATATGTTAATCGATTAAAATCATTGGATAATTCATTGTTTTCTGGTCGTGTTCAATCATTCATGCCGAATGCATTCGAAAATTTCAATAACAATCCGGGTAATCAAAATGATAGCCAAGATGGAAATATACCGGCACCATCATCATCAATGAGTGAAGTACATTTTCATAATTCAATTGAACAACCAGAACCACCAAAAGAACAATCACCATCACCAATGAAACCACCACGAACAATTAATATGATTCCGGAAAATAATTTTAACCACGATTTGTTGCTCATCGACAACAACAATCAATCGCAACAACAACAACAACAACAGATGACAATGGCCACCACAAATGTTGAAATAGAATCGAATGTTGTTGAAAATAATTTAATGTCATCACAGACATCATCATCATCATCACTAACAACAGCAACAACAACAACAAATCGATTCGGTCATCGACGTCAACCAAGTCAGGGTAGTAATCAATCGATGAATAATCAATTACAACATTTGGATCCATCATCATTTTTACAATTTACTTAGACAAAAATATGTTTATTATTATTGACTGAATACAAATATATAGATAATAAATATATATTCTTTCATCGTCGGCAAGAATTTTTATTGACTTTTTTTTTGTTCATTACCCAAATAATAATAATAATAATAAAAGAAACAATTCAATCAATCAATTTTCATGTGCTTGAAATTTCGATTTTGACCTTTTTTTTGTCTACATTGAATCAAATGATTTTTTTTTCTCACTGCAGTTCATTTATCAATCAATCGTGTGTTCACATTTTTTTTCTTGATATAAATAAAAATCAAATCCAATCCTGGATAGTATCGATTTTTTTTTTCAAATTCTCACTACAATTGTGAATCTCAATTATAATCAAACAAACATAATTTGACAAGGTCACAGCGATTGTCAAGAATATATACCCACCACACACACATATATACATGGCACGGGACATTTCAAAAGAATCCAAAAACTATTCGATGAAACAAGTAACAACAAGATATATTTTGTTTATTTTCAAATTGCAAATTCATCATCATCGTCGTCATCATCAACTATTTATCATACATGGCTATATCTTGTTTGATGATTCAATGATTGACCAATGAAGGATTCAATTACATTGGATAAATATTGCATTAAATGGATCAATGGTACTGCATTATATCCGAATGATGATCCAGAACAAGCAAAATGTCATATAAATATTGGCCTATTCTATAGTGAAGTATATGAAAATGTTCATACCAACAAAACGATGGTATGTTCATCGAATAATCAATTATTTTTGATTATATTAAAATATCTTCAATGCAGGTATGTTGTAACAATTGATAATGGAGAATGAATTTAACTGTTTTTTTTTTTTTTTTTTTTTTTGAATTTCAATGAATCAAAAGCATCAATTTCATACGATCCAGTGAAGATTATGGTGGCCGTTTAATCGATGGTCAATGGACAGGAATTTTACAGCAATTTGCAAGAAATGAATCGGATTTTATTGGCCACATATTTGCTATTGTGAATGGCCGTGAAAAAGTTATTGATCAAACATATCTAATGCCAAACAAAGAATTGATTTCGATATTTAGTTTCACAAAATTGCCCAGATTTTATGATAATCCATTTCGTATATTTGAATGTTTTACATTATTCATATGGATATTGATTGCATTATCATTATTGATCACTGGTGCTATAAGTTCTGTGATTATCATGAAAAATGATCGAAGATTATGGTTCATAAAAATCATTGCAAGCAATATCGATTCATTTTCATTATTAATTGGACAATCACAACGACAGCTAATGTCAACATCATTGATGTCTACATCGTTATTATTTTGGCTAATCGGTTCATTCATATTGAGGCAATTATTTTCAAATGATTTCACTGCAATATTATTATCAAAACAATATAAAAAAATTGATCATTTTGATGATCTATTTCAATTACCGTCAACATATCGTATAATGCTTGAACCAAATTCATCGACTAAATATTTTTTCAGCAAATCATTTCCAATGTTAATGGATCGTGTTGAATATTATTCACATATCGATATAATCAGTATACACATGTTGGACAATCTTATTGTAGATGATTATGTATTAATCATCAATACAGAACGTGCATTATCATTGAAAGAATATTATCCATCCACTCATTTTCATGTATCCAATGATGTAATGATACCAACATTGAGTACATATGCAATTCGTTCAACACTTGATAATAAGAATCGTGAACCATTATTACGATTGTAAGTTTTTTTTCTAAATATAATTGGCTCAAATTGACTAATTTATATGTTTTGTCCTTTTACAATCATCAAAGACTAAAATCATTATATTATTATGGTCTAATGAAATATGTTGATCGACGATTATTATTGAATCATTTACGTGCCGAAGCTGAAGATGCACTTTTTCACATCGTTTATAAGGCTAAAAAACAACCAAAAACTGTCGTATTATCCGGTCAAACTATATTGACATTCATTTATTTCTATGTGATTGGTATAATCATCTCTTTCACATTGTTTATATTTGAAATAATTTATTTAAAATTTTTACGTTCAAAATGGGAAATATCAACAACATCAGAAACAATTGGAACAAGAATCGTATCTATCTAGCCATGACATCATTCATAAACGAAGACAAATCATTGTCAAAAAAAAATGTATACATCAACATAAAAGCAATGAAAAAATGAACAAGACGAGTGACGAAGCTTGAGAAAAAAAACGAGCATTTTTGCACAAAGACCAAATGTAAAATATTTTTTCCAACCGTCAAGCAAAATGCTTGCAAGCATGTTTGTTCATTTTGATAATGATCAAAATGCACTGTTAAAGTTAAACAACCATTTTAAAAGGCGGAGCATAGCTTACATTTTGAAAGGTAAAAGGGTAAAATGTCTCGAGGCCATAATGACCATTCGATTAGCTTGCAACTGAGCCAACAATATTAAATTGGTTGTGACAAACATGATAGTTTGGAAAATTTGTTGGCGCGAACTTAGACAATTTCTTCTTTTTTTAATCTTTTGTTGATCAATTTGATTGTTGCTAAGTTTCTGCCGAAAAAAACGTGGTCATGAGTCATGGACTTATTTTATGGCCTAGGATTCACTCGATCACCACTTTTGATCAAGGGCGATGATAAGGTGACTTTTACTACCATGAACCTGCAGGGATTATCATACGAGTAGCGACCTGGACACTAGGTTATCAAGAAACATTGTAGGGTTTTTGCAGAAGTTTTGTTAATACACGTCAACATTCTATTTAATCGACTTAATCTTTTTATTACTACTACTTATTACTATTAATTTGACCCTGGATATACGCATGGATTTTCTAGCAGATAGCTGTTTATCAACGAGTGTTATGGTCAAGTCATATAAAAAGCCATGCCAAACAAGCAATCGATATCATTTTTGCTGGCTGGTCGTTATTATTCACCACCATCATTATCATCAACATTTTACTATTTTTCAACACAATTTTTCAGATATGAACAAAAAAAACGAAAACAATTTTTTGCGATACTGTTTACAGAATTTGTTCGTATCGATCGACTCCGGAAATGATTTGAAATTCATCCAGAACTACGAAAAATATGTTGACAAACTCGTCAAATTCATGAAGAAGTATAGATCTTACGCAACGAAACTCGACATGTTCGACGCCGTGCAAAAAAAGGTGGAAGCTTTGATCAACTCACCAGAAATTTCGTCATTGATCAAAGAATCATTGAGATCCAAATTTGATCATGCGAATGAACTTGCTGTTGGTTTTTCAGAGGTAAATGTTTCAAGTTTTAATTATATGTCACTATTTATAATTTTTCTTAGTCAATACCGAGAAGAAAATTGGACAAGAATAATGACAGTGTGAAATCAATGTATGCCTTCCGAAGAGGCGAGATCTCTTCGGTAAATTGCTGCAGCATGGAATTTCGCAGTGTTGCAAATTTATATAAACATTTCTTCGTTGTTCATCCGAATTTCTATGTCGACGACAATATTCCTCAAGATGAATCATCCGAAAAAAATCTAAGAAAATCACGATCAACACCATCATGTTTAGCGTCTCAAGCAAATCAAAGATCCAAATCAGCTAGAAGTATAAAGAAAAAATCATCACCAATGTGTTCGACGCCGATTGTTGAACAGATGAAAAATAAAACACTGAAGAATTCTAGAATTAATGGCAAAAACCGAAGGTAAGTCATATTGAAAAATATGCAGATATGAAACTTTAATCGACTAATTGTAAAGGATAAATTTGTTATGAAGACAATCATGGAGAAAACTCATTCGCTGAATAATAACACTATATCACTGGTAGGAAATGGCAAAAATACGACAATTCAACATTCGAATAAACGACCAGGAATGAATCGGTCCAGTCTACAACAAATCGATACTAATCAGCGAAGAAATTCATTTAAAAATGATAATGATGAACTGATAATGGCTCAACATGATGCTCAAAAAACTAATACCAAAACGGTTTCATCACCGATTGATAATCATGAGATAAACTTATCCAACCAATCTAATGGCAAAAAAAATTTTCATCAGCACGAGAACTGTTCTCCACATCTACAATCATCTTCAATTGAACCAATGAATAGATCATCTCAAGCATTAGTCCATTCAAATGATGCCAATTCTTCAATCGATCACATCCGGTCCATGTTACGAAATCATGGAATTGGTCAAATATATAAAAATTATGATTTTCAATATAATTGCATTGATTCTTTAGTTGAAACACTGAAGGATAAGGAAAGTTCAGCTCTTGTTCTTTTAACGAAAAAAGTTAAAAGCATTTTTAAAAATTGTTTGCCTCCATTGAATGATAATTTTCATCCATTATTTCTATTCGATAAGGATGTTAATGTATATTTCGAATTTACCATCTCTGATCCGAAATCATTATTCAATGCTAATGAACGATTACCATGTTCGGACTGGCGAATTCTTCGACATTCCAGATTAATCTATTCATTTGTCTATGAATATTGTAAAACTATTTCTGAATGATGATAATAACTTTTTTTTAAAACTTTTGTTTTGTTAATGATCAATGAAATAAAATGAATATAAATTTTTTCGTGAAATATATTTATTCAAAATTATCGATTGTATTGCGATATGTGTGTGTATCGACGATGTAAATGTCGAAGAAAAAAAATAAACAATTTTTAATTTCATCGACACTAGATGGCGATGCAGTCTGTTGTTTCTTTTTAAATGTTTATTTATTATCAGAATCCATCCATTTAAATTTCTATATTCGCGATCCTGGATCATTATGAAATATTCACTTGGATGATGTTCACTGTTTTTTTTTTTGCAATGAATGAACTCGACCAAATATCGCTATTGTGCACTCATATTATCATCATCGTGTAATATATAGCTGTGCTACAATTTTCGCTTTTACCACTTCTCGGGGGTGATGAAATTGACCGAATTTTTTTTTTTTTTTAGTAGAATTATTCTGGAACTACTGCAGTCGTATCAAGTGTTCCAATAGTGTGTGTGTGTGTGTGTGTTTTTGTGTTTTCTTTTGTTTTGTCTGTGTGTGTGTGTGAATGGATATAAACGATTCTTGATTTTTTTTCGAGATTTGATTCTTTTCGTTTTCAAGTTTTGTTGGTTCAACACAATCAAATGTCCATTGCATTGAATCAATCTCTCATCCATACATGAGTCATCGTTTAATTCAATTGAGGTTTTTTTTTGTTTGAAATTCAACGAAAAAAAAGTGGTTTGTGTGTTTTTGTTTTTGTTGTTGTTGTTTGCAGTTTTGGGCCAAACAAATGGCCTAGATCATTTTTGTTTCGCGCTTTCATTTTTAGCACCATTTTTTTTCTCTCGTTCATTCGTTTGTTTGTTTGCCATGTTTTTTGTTTTCTTCGAATGACAATGTGTAACATTATTCCGAATTTTGTTTTTTCTCGATGGTTGTAAACACACATTGCCAAAATCATCTGTCGAATATATATATTTACATATATATACAACGCAAATGAATGTATGTCATAATTGAACACATATTTTGAATTTGAATGTTTTTTTTTCCAGAAAAAAAACTTTTGGCAGCTTTTCTTCGGTTGTTGTTTTTCGTTTTGTTTGTTCGTTTGACAGCCACACACACACAAACACATATGGTATGTGAATGAATGAATGAAAAAAAGCCAATGTTCCATATAACCAAACGAAAATAGTTCCAATTTTTCGGTTAAAATTTACGATTATTTCCGGTTATTATTTCGTCCATTTACCGCTCTAATGCAAGTGAAAAAATAGACAAATTATTTGAATCAATGACCAAAATCATCACGTTCCTCTCTTTTCGTGATGTTCTCGTTGTTGTTCATCATCATCATCATCATCATGATAATAATTAGGTTAATCGGATAATGTAGATTAACAGAGAAACTCTTGTTGAATTAAGTAATGTAAATGGTATGTGAACACGTGCTAAAAGAAGACAATTTAGATGAAATAAATTCATCCTTTTTCATATAACCAAACGAAAATAGTTCCAATTTTTCGGTTAAAATTTACGATTATTTCCGGTTATTATTTCGTCCATTTACCGCTCTAATGCAAGTGAAAAAAAATAGACAAATTATTTGAATCAATGACCAAAATCATCACGACATTCATCCACATATGAGTGATGAATGTCTTGAAAAAAAAATGAAATCGACAACATACCGTTTGTTGACATCATTTTTCAGCCTCTCTTTTTCGTGATGTTCTCGTTGTTCATCATCATCATCATCATCATCATGATAATAATTAGGTTAATCGGATAATGTAGATTAACAGAGAAGGGGAAACCAGCTCGACGTAGACGACGACGACGACGTTGAATACTTGCATGATATAAATATTCATCATGATCATCATCATCGTATAAACCGAAAAAAATGATAATTTTCAATTCAAACATTCATCGTTGTTGTGGTCGTAAACCATATATATATTGAGGTTGACGATATATGTGTGCTTGTAGACAACGTTATGATTACCATAATAAATAATCATCATGATGGTTGATTTTTTTTTCATAAAATTCTGATTTAGTGAAAACAAAACAATATCTTTCCATTCATATACAGTTTAATATTTATGTGTGTGTGTGTGTGTGTGATCATTATGATTCAAATCAATAAATCAAACCAATCGATCTAAAATAGATTTTTGTAATTGTTTTTTTTTCGATTATTCAGATCGATATCGATCACACAAACATGCATAGTTGAAAAGAAATTACAATTATCTATCTAATGGATTTTTTTTCATTGTCGTTGTTGTTGTTGTTGTTGTTATCATACCATGATATTTGCCAAATAATGATAATTGATGGATGGATGGTCTGATACACATGTATGAATAGGCCACTTGATGATAATGATGATGATGATGATGTTTGCTGTTATTGCATGATCATCATGATGTTTGTAAAAAAAAAATTCAAAAAATTTAAATATCTGTGTTTGTTTAAAAACGAAACAATGATATGGGCAAATCGTTTTTTCTCTTGTCACCGATATTATCGATGGCACCCAAAAATTTCGATCGACGAAAAACGTTCGATATTTGTATCGTGATTTCGAATGAATGAATGAATGAATAAATAAATGTTGTCTATTTTTATGTATGTTGCCGTATGTGGGTGTAATTAGATTCGAATGTTATGATGATGATGATGATGATCAGAAAAAAAAGACACCTGTAGAACATCATCATTATTCATAAATTCGTCACCTGTTTCAAAGAGAAAAGATCTGGCAAAAAAAAAAATACGAAATAAATGTCATGTGTACATGTGGATCGATCGATCGATCGATTGCATAATTTTATTTTATTCATTTTTTTTCTAAAAAAAAATGCAAAAATTATTGATCAAAAATTTTAATGTTTATTTTATTGTTTGTTTATGAAAAAAAAATCTAGATTGAATCCATCCATCCATCCAATCCAATCCGATCCGATCCGATTATGATAATCATCATCATCGTCAGTTATTTATGTAATGAAGAAAAATATTTGCATAAATAACATTACAACGACAACAACAACAACAACAAAATTAATCGACCAAACAAACAAACAAGAACATGGAATAAAAACAACAACAACAACAACAACAAATTTCATAACTGTAAAACCAGAAATATTAACGATAAATAGCTTTGTGTGTTTGTTCGTTCGTTTTTGTCCTCCTAAATCATCATCATCGAAGACTATTAAAAAAATACAACAACAACAACAACAAAAAAACATTCTGTACAAACATTGACTACCATCATCATCATCATCAAAATCGACTACTATTTACCAAGAAAATAATACCATTTTCAATTTTTATGAAATTACTGTTTCTGAATCTGGTTTTTTTTCAATCATTCATTTCAGTTCAGTTAAAAGTTGTGTTTTTTTGATTGAATTTTTTTCTCTCTCTCTCTTTTTATTTGCCTCTGTCTCTTTTTCTATTCGCTTTTTTTTATTGAGAGTATTAGAAGAATATATTAGAGAGTCGAAAAAAACACGACGACTACGACGACGACGACAAGCATCCCCATATATTATTATCCATAAGTCAGCCATTGATTTCAACCCAAGGATATACACTCTAAATACATACACAAGACTCTTTATTTTATTTTATTTTATTATTTGCTCGATCTACTGAAACAACAGAAAAAAAAATCCATCTTCTGCATAAGATTGTTGTTGTTGTTGTTGTTGTTGTTTCAAATACATCCATTCAAAATACAAACATTCATTATCGAAATGGTATTGTATACCACTACAACGACGGCTACGGCAACTACAACGACAACAACAACGACGGCGACGACGACAATCATGATTTAGCCAATTTCAATTCAGAATGATGATGATAATGTTATGATGATGGTGAAATGTTTTCTTCGTTCTTCTGTGAAAAAAAACCGTGAACATCAACAACAACGATGATGATGAACAATAATATCGTTATTTTCTAGAAAATTGCTTCATTTCAATAGCATCATTATCATCATTATCATTATTTACCCATACACGCACACACACACACACATATTGGGCCGTACCCGAATTCAGCTACAACGAAAAAAAAACAACCGAAATATGAAACTTGAATTTGTAAAATACAAAAACTTGACGAAATCAACAATCAAACGCATTCATTCATTCATTCATTCATTCAGCAGCAGCAGCATCAGTAAACAGCAAGATTTTCAAGTAACGAATTTCAAATTGTCTTTTTTTTTCTTGTATATTTAGTGAAAGTTAAACTCAATAATTTTTTTTCGGGTTCAAGTGTCTCTTTCTTAATCTTCATAATATCCAAGATTACCGCCACTACCAATCGAAATCAACCACCAATCAAAAGAAAAGAAAAGAATAAACAACTTTGGCCAACCAAAATTATCGACAACAAAGTTTAAATGGTTGATTGATTGTATCTACCAGTTCTCTTTTTCTCTCTCTCTCTTTACTGTGTGTGTGTGTTGTATACATGTTCAACAAGTGAGCAAAAGAAAAAGAAACCAAGTTAGGTTAGTGGGTGAAGGTGCCAACTACCAAGTTAACAACAACAACAACAAACTTATTCACATTTCGTTGAAAAATAAATAAGAATCTATTGTCCATTTTTTTTCGTTGGAAATCAGTGGAATTCAAATCATAATCATCAAAAATGTGTGTTAATCGTAGTCAACGTCATTGTTGTTTACAGGGAACATTAATATTCCTATTAACAATCTGTGTCATTGGTTTTGGTGCCATAATTGCCATCTATTTAGGTGTTTATTATTCAACAGAACAATCTATTGGTCTACGTCAACAGCGAGATTTAAATGGACAAAATGAAAAAATTCAATCATTATTTCAACGATTAATACAAAAACGATCCAATGATGGTTATATGACAACAGCAACCACAGCAACAACAACATCCAGATCATTTGAAGAAAATTTGGTCCATATATTTTATAAACGAGATTGTCCATTCAATGGATGGTTGGTACAAAGTTCAATATTGTTAGATCAATGTCCATATATTTCACAACAAATGCCCTTAGAATCGTTGAATAATGTTCAATTTAATAATTGTCTACGTAAGTAAACTAAAATAAAATTTTACAAAAAAAAAAAAAAAAAAATTAATCGCAAATCAAAAACCTACGCTGAAAAAAAAACAAACAAACATGGCAAAACGAACGAGACATGAGCACCGAGTGTTTAAAATTTATTTTTCAACAAGTTTATTTTTGAATGATGATGATGATGATGATGACGATAATGTTGTTGTCGTTGTCGTTGTCGGCAAAATGAAATTTTTTTTTTTCCTATTTAAAATGCAATGAAAAATACATATGGTCGTCGTATATTTATTCTTGTTGTTTTGCCATTTATGTTTAAAATGTCTGTCGTTTTTTTTTCTAATGAATTTTCTCTGTGTGTGTGTGTGGTGTATGATTTGGAAAAATTTTTTTTTTGTTCATCTCCATCATATATTCATTCATTTTCGGCTTATGACAAAGCCATGATGATGATGATGATGAGAAAAAAAAAACCTTGATGTCCGTTAAATGTTGGTTGATGTTTTATACCACCAACGCCAATTATCATTATCATCATCATCATCGAAGACTGTGTGTGTGTGTGTGTGAGTTTGTTTGTGTGTTAAACACGTCGATGCTATTTGATGATGATGGTAATAATAAAGCTGCTGGCGCCATGACAAAACAAATCAAAAAAAAAAAAAAAAAATTTTATGTGATTGAAATAGAAGAAAAAAAACAAGATAGATTTTCTCATTAAAAAAATTGATTGATTTTCGATGAAATCGATGATGATAAAATCGAAAATCTGAAATACCAGAAAAAAATCGCAATGAAATGAAAGAAAGTTATTAATGTGTCGATGATTAATGTTGTTGTTGTTGTTGTTTATGATTCGAAATGATTCTATAGAATCTTTGGTAATTGATTTGCGATATTTTTTTTTCTTGATATTATTTTATTGATTATTTATCGATCATGTTCATATTTTCTAATTTATTTTTTTTTTTTCATTACCAATCAAAAATCATTCACATCAGGTGATTCATTCTGGTTTTTGGGCATGGCATCGATCGTACCATTTTTATTAACAATCATCACATTGATTGTTGCTTGTCGTCTATGGCTTTGTCCAATGATTACAATGGCCATTGTTTATCTGGCATTAGCATTGGTATTGATTATATTTACAATACTATATAAATCTGGTTCAATATTGACCGATGGTTGGCCATTATTCATTGGAATCATTGCATTAGTTTGTCTATATGCATTGTTATCATTATTATTGATCACATTATTCGGTCTGGTCACGTGTGAACGTCGTCGACAACAACGACCGGCAAAAACCAATGGTACATCCGATAATGATCATATGATGAAAATGTGTGGTGGTGTTGGTGATGATGATGATGAAATTGATGATCCAAATGTACCATTATATCATCATAAAAATGGTGTTTATTCACCACAGAAACATACAGATTTTGATGATAAAATTAAAGATTTCAAATATATTGATGATGATATGAGCTATGTGTTACGTCGTGGATAAATAACAACAACAACAAAAAGTGAAGAAAATGATGGAAGATACGTAATTACAAGCATGTGAAAACATAAACAAATCAATCAAATTGTTTTTGTTTTTTTTTTGATCCATTTTTTTAAATAATAATCATCATCATCATCCAAACAAAAATGAAGAATAAACATCACGCTGCCTCATCATATACCATCATCTCTATCCATCTTCATCATCATCATGTTGATCATTTTTTTCTGATGAAATCATGACAAGTCCAACAACAACAACAACAACAATAATAACCGAAACAAACATTTGCCGATTCTTTTTTCAAAATTTTTTTTTTAATACTTTGTCCACAATATCCATGTCCATATGATATTCAACAAGTCCAATTTGAATTTTTTTTTTTGTTTTGAATTTATCTCGGCCGATTTATTTATTAGTTAATTAATTTAACTATAATATAACTGCAATCACAATCAAGATGAAAATATTATTTTATTTGTACTGCAAGATTATTACGACACGAATATTACGAAACAGAAACCTATTATTCGTGCAATATATCATCAATACATAGTTCACACACACACACCAACACCAACATAAACTCATCAATATTGAATGAATATATTACTCAATGAAATCAATGAACACACACACACACACACACCGGTGCTGATAATCTTCTTTCATATATTTTTTAGAATGTGAAAATTATTTTAACTACTAATTCATCATCATTGATTGATTGATTGATTGATTGATTGATATGAACAGTACAGCTCAACAATTAGTTTATTTTTTTTTCTCTCTTTCTCTCTGGTTTTAATTTTTGGAGGTGTATGTAAATGAATGGGGCGTGTGCACAGATTTTTTTTCTCATTTTATATCGTTTTGATCATCATCATCATCATCATCGTCATCATCATTTAAATCCAGATAAATCACACATCACACTAGTCATTTATATATATTAATATATATTGATCCACATCATTCACAATTGTTCATTTCAGAATCGGCCAACACACACACACACACACACCCACATACATTGGATAAAATTCTTTCTTTCATTCTATCTCTCTGTAAACACAAAAAATGAAACAAAACAAAACAAAAAAAAAAAACATCAACAAGTGGCTATATATAACTACCATATGTGTAACATATATATTTGATAATTAGCAGTGGTTTTGAAAAAAATGGAATTTTTTTTTCTTTTTGATAACGTTATCTGTAATATTATTCTTTACATTAACTAACCATAGCAGTAACAGAACATACACAGACACAACCACAACAACGAAACAACGAAAAAAAAATCCAAGCCAATCGCAATCATTCATCATCATCATCATTTGAATATTTTAAATTCGTTCAAATTTGTTAATTTTTTTTCGCTATAATTATTGATTTGATTTGATTTTTTTTTTTCTTTTCTTTTCCACTAATTGTGCATTGGTCACTAATTTTACATTTTATTAATCTTTTTATTTTATTCATATTTTTTGGTTTCACATTTTGTTTTTGGTGAAAGAAAGAATAAAGTCCATTTTTTTAGCCAAAATCATGCGCCAAAGATTTAAATGTGTGTGGTGTGTTGTGGTCAACCACAATGTCAATCAATCAATAAAGTATTGGCATTGTCCAATATTCAAATTTCAGTATATATACTGATAATTTGCAAATTATAATCATTATATCCATCATCTTCATGGTCATATAAATTATTCAAATTACAATATGAAACAAAAACAACAAAAAAAGTTAAATTATATCCTCCATAGGTAGCCAAAAAAAAAAAAAAAAATGCCGAGGCTACAAATTTCTTTTTTGGATCACCGATGATTATATTTAGTTACAAAAGATAAAACAAAACCGAAAAAATTGGAGCATAATAAGTGTGTGTGTGTATATTTGCTATAACGATCGGGGTTTTGGATTTTTTCATTTAAAGATTTTTTCCATCTATGCCCCGTCAATCAATCAATCAATCAATCGACCGTTCATTCATCGATTGTCAAATAAAAAAAAAGGAAACAAAATTTAAACGATTTAATGCGTACGTGCGTGCGTGCATGTATGGTAAGCATAATGAACAAACAAAAAAAAAGGATTTTATTACATCAACGAAAAAAAAATAATCATAATGATCACGTATACAACCGTGAATAAAATGAGAAAGAAAAAGCGATATATAATATTAAGCCAAACAAACATTTGTGATTCATCAATCAAATTTTTTCCTCGATCCATATTTAACCAATAATTCATTCTGTGTATTGGCTATATCGGTCAATCAATCAATAATCATTTCATTATTAATATTGATGATTTGATCTTTTCAATTCTCATGACCATACGACATAAATGGTAACTTTCACCGGTCACTTCGATAAACATTGATATTTAACCATTGAATATAATTCATTCTGTTAAAAAGAGATAGATCTTACTTTAGAATATTCATTTAGCTATATCGGTCAATTCACAAACAACGGGTTCAATAATCATTTCATTATTAATAAACACTGGTACCGATGTTTCACCATCATCATCCATAATTGTTGCCATTATTAATGAATGTATCAATTCATTCATGACCATACGACATGTTGGTATACTTTCACCGGTCACTTCGATAAACATTGATTTTGTATTTGCACCTATCTATTGAATATATAGAAAGATAGTTAAATTAGATTCGATTAAAAAAAGAGATAGATCTTACTTTAGAATATTCAGCATTAGTTAATGGTGGTAATGATAAAACATTATCACGATAATCCATCAATACTGGATACAATTGTTTTCCTTTCAATAAATGAATATATTTATGTATACCGCTAATGGTATTACGTTTCTTTTCTTTTCTATATTGATCAGCTTCATCATTCAATAGACGATATAATTCCATTGCAGTCATTTCATTGGCACGGCCTAATGGAACTAAACGTATTTTAGTTGGTACACGACCATCAAAATAAATAGCTCTTGATGTCGGCGGTTCTGGTAGCTGGTTCTTTTCCGATTGTGATGTCTGCGATGCATATGTAGGCGGTGGTGGTAATAGTTTTGCGAGATCATGTGTTGCAATAGTCGCTTTTTGACGATTATCACATACAGTCTGATGTAATTTTGTTTGAATGGTTAGAATTTTTTTCAAAACTTTAGGATTCGATAGATCCATTTGATGAATAATACAGGCGACAATTTTTCTTTGATTAATAATCAATTTCGAAACCAATACAGAAAATTTATCCACTGAATTCTGTTGAATTCGAATTGTATATTCGGGTTTTGGTTTTTCATTTGAATCATTGAAACTATCATCATTCGTTTTCTGTTCATCATCATCGTTAGCATTTTTACCGGATTTTTTCGCTGGACTTGCATTCATACGAAGATAATCAAGAACTTTTTTCGTTGGACATTGTTCAATCAATTTATATAGACGACGATCTTTAATCGGATTTTCTTTCAATTGTGCATCCTTTAATTTTGGACAATTGGCCAATTCTGCTGGAATCATTGTTATTTGATTATAGCTAAGATCCAATGATTTTAATGCAACCAAACGTTCAATTATATATGGTAATTCTTCAATCTGATTATGTGATGCATCCAATTCGGCCAAATGTATGGCACCATTTTCATAGATTGGAATCGATGATTGAGCAGATAATTCTTTATTCTTACGGATTTTATCACAAAGTGTACTTGGAAAACATTTCAATTGATTTGAGCCACATTTAAATGAAATCAATGATGATAATTTTGACATTTCGGGCAATACTTTCAATTGATTCTGTTCCAAATTCAATGACTGTAGATGGACAAGATTTTCGAAAACTTTATCCGGCAATATTTCAATTTCATTACGAGACAGATTAAGACATTTCAATTTAGTAAGCTGCCCAATTTCGGCTACAAATATGAAAAAAAAATTGAATTGTAGATAAATCCAAGAGAATCCATCGACAGAATACATACCTGGAATTGATGACAATTTATTTCCTTCCAATACAAGATTAGTCAAATTGTTTAAATTGGAAATATTCGTATTGATCGATGTCAATGACGAAGCATCGGTAATTTCCAAAAAATTCAATGATTTTATCTTGAACAACAGTTCATTCAATCCATTTTCCTCTTCAATTTGTTTAGCAATTCGATCACCAGATAAAACAATTTCACGTGGTTTCTGTTTCAACAATAATCCCCATTCAACACGTTCATTAGGATTTTGTTGTTGTTGATTATTCGATTTTTTTGATGTTGCCATTGATTTGAATTTTATTATTACAAAATCACAATTTAATAATAATGATGATGATGATGAAAAAATAATTAGAAAAAAAATGAAAATTTTTTCCAAAAGAAAAATTGATGATGAAATGACAAAGCAATTTTTTGATCGTTATCAAAATTTATTAAACAGTCAAATTTCAATCGATGGCAACTTGTGATAAAATAATAAATCGAAACACAATATATTGTGTGTCCATGTGTTCACAAACATCATGATCCATCAATATAGTACGTGACATATTTTATATTGTTTGAATTTTTTTTAACGCGCCAATTTATTTATTTGCGAAAATGAATTATTATTATTATTATACAACAAAACAAAATTTTTCAGAACATTCAAGAATTATTTATTTTGTGATCATAATCGTTGACATCTTGCAACTGGTTGATCATAATAATTTTTTTAAGATTTATTTTATTTTGTTTTTTTTGAATGGAAATGATGAATTATTCAATGTATGCATCAAATGCCAATCTAATGGGTCGTTATTTTGCATTGAAACAGCCACAAAATCAAGTACAAGTACAATATGTTTGGATCGATGGCCGACAAGGTTTACGTGCCAAAACAAGAACATTGAATTTTGTTCCACAAAATGTACAACAATTACCGATTTGGAATTTTGATGGTTCATCTACACGACAATCGGAAGGTAATAATTCCGATGTTTATCTATATCCAGTGACAATGTATATGGATCCATTTCGTGGTGGACAAAATCGTATTGTTCTATGTGAAACAATGCGTTATGATAAAACACCATGTGTATCGAATACCCGTCATTCATGTAAAAAAGTTATGGATCAAGTTGTCGATCAGGAACCATGGTTTGGTATTGAACAAGAATATTCATTGTTAGATGGTTGGAATAAAACACAACCATTTGGATGGCCATCTGGTGGATTTCCAGCACCACAAGGTCCATATTATTGTGGTATTGGTGCAGGTAAAGTTTATGGCCGTGATATTGTTGAATCACATTATCGTGCATGTATGTATGCCGGTGTTAAGATTGCCGGTGAAAATGCCGAAGTAATGCCATCACAATGGGAATATCAGGTTGGACCATGTGAAGGAATATCGATTGGTGATGATCTTTGGATGTCAAGATTTCTATTACATCGTATTGCTGAAGATTGGTATGTTCGAGTGACATTTGATCCAAAACCTATACCAGGTGACTGGAATGGTGCTGGTGGCCATACGAATTTTTCCACCAAAGCAATGCGTCAAGATGGTGGTCTTAAAGTGATTGAATCAGCATGTCGAAAATTAGCATTACGTCATCGTGCACATATACAAAAATATGATCCAAGTGGTGGAGCAGATAATGCCCGCCGATTAACTGGACGTCTTGAAACATCATCGATTGATCATTTTAGTTGGGGTATTGCTGATCGTGGTGCATCTGTACGTATTTCTAGACAAACATATGATGAAGGTAAAGGTTATCTTGAAGATCGTCGACCAGCATCCAATATGGATCCATATGTTGTATGTGAAATGATTATTCGAACAATTTGTTTGAATGAAACATCATCATCATCATTATCGGATACACCAGCTACAAGTGGATCAAATGAATCAAATAATGCTAGTAAAACAACAACAACATCATCTGCAACCACAAAAATCAGCAAGTAGTAAATCAACAAAAACTGCAAAATGAATTAATTTGAAAGTAAAAAATTTAAGACAAAATTTTTTTTTAACAATAATTATTCGATTTTATTCGTTCTAATGATGAATCTTTTGATAATTGTTGTTGTTGTTGTTGTTGTTGTTCATAATTATCATCATCTGATTGTCGATGTTGCAGCTGTTGTTGTTGTTGTTCGTGTTGTGGTGCCGTACATAGAATATATAACGCAAAACAAATAAAACATAAAATCAACAACTGTAGAATGACTTTGATACGAAAATCGAACCAATTTTTTTCATGAATCGTTGTCGTATTTATTGATGATGATGATGGTGTTGATATTATCCATGATGCTGAATCATTTTGAATCAAAAGAAGATGATTACAATCAACATTGCTGCCATTGTTGTTATTCATCATTATAATGATTCAAATCGCTTGTTTTTTTTTCGTTCGTTCGAACATATAAACAACGAAATTTATTTGAATTTACAAATGAAAAATAAAATTCGAATGTTATGGTGACCAAAAAAAATTAAATTTCATACAACAACAACAACAATGGCTGTTTTTTTTACACGAAAATCCAAAATTCATGGTAAATTTGTGGAAAACAACAACAAAAATAATGAGTAAAAGTTTAAAAGATGAGAAAAAAAGGTTTTTTTCAACGAAACAAAGCCAATGAACTTTCATCATGGTGACAATGGAATAAAAACAAAAGTAAGTCAATAGGGCGATAGACGGATTTGTAACAAAAAAAAAAAAAAAAAAAAAAATGAATCCCGAAACGAAACAACAGAAAATAATTGATCTGTCGTCAAATTATGATGATGATGATAATGATGATAATCAAAGATACCTTGAAGACAAATACAGTGTTTCGTTGTTGTTGTTGTTGTCGTTACCAATATATCTCATCATCATAGTCATATATATACATGTCTCGTGCTTTCACAAATGTTGATGACGATGATGATTATCATCGACAAAATTGGATTCATTTTTAGTCAAAAAGAAAAAAAATAGATCCCCAAAATAACGATAATCACCATGATCATCATTATTCAATAAATACAAAAGAAGTGAAAAAATGAAGAAAATCATTTTCCAAAATTAGTATAATTGTTTGCTTTCGAAAAAAAAAATCAAATTGTCGCCGTAAAAAAAATCAGTTTGACGAATGAAAAAAAAAAAAACCAATCAATCGAACAGATATTGGCTATATGGATTTGTTTTGTTTTTTTTTTAATCCGTTGTCGTATATCATCAATCGATAGATATGATCAATCGTTCAATGACCGATTAATTAATCTTTTGTGGATTGATGAAAGAATTTGGTTAGATTTTTCACCGCTGGAATTTTTATGAGAACAACAACAAAAAAAAAATCACATTTATATTTTCTCTTCCTCATCCACCTTTTTGTCAATCGATGATTTTTTTTTATATATATAATAAATGACGAATGGATTAAAACAAAAGTAATTTATTATAATTATCGATTATCAATCGTTAATAATAATTACCATCGAATAAAAAAAATTTACTTTTGCTTTTTCTTGGCTACAAAAGACAACGAAAAAAAAAAAAAAAAAATCCTCTTTCAAATTAAAGGTGGTTAATAATAATAAAAAAAAAGTATAAACATCGAGCAATATCGATTATTATTATATGTCATATGTGAATAAATCATTCGAATCATCAAATGTTTTATCATTACGTTGTACGGATGGATGGACGGATGTAAGTTCGAACAAAAACAAAAACAAAACAAAAACAAACTTGACGAACAATCGTCATGCAATTGACAACATTGTTTTTGTTGTTGTTGTTGTTGGTAAACATTCATCATCAATGACTCTTTCGTGAAGAAAAATATGTCGTCGTTAATTATAATCATCATCATCATCATCAATTGTCATCGATTTTTTTTTACCATTTTGAGTCATCCGTGTGTGCGTGTTTATTTTGAAGAAAATGTACACTTGATTGATATGAAAATATGTCCCAAATGGATCGTTATGGATGATAGTAATAATAATAATAATAATGTAACAAAAGTCAAAAAACTATATTTAGTTGTTAATTTGATTATATATTTTGTGTGAGTGTGGAAGAAGTAGGGGAAGAGGGAGGGAAGAGTCGAATTTTCAAAAGTTTTTCAATTATAATTTGTGTAAAAAATTTTCAAATATTTTTTTTCTCCAAATATTGTCGTGTGCCACATTAGATATGATGAAAAAATCTCAACAGATGATCATTCATAATTTTAGTGAAAAAAAAACAAACGTCATAAACGATTAAATAATTGATCAACCGAATAATTAGTTGTGATCCATTTTAAATGATCAAAAAGCAAAGACAACGACAACGACCATTTCTCTTTCATTGTTTTTTTTTCACCACTTTCTTCTCAGTGGATCCACCACTACTACCACCAGAGTGTGGGTGCATAATTGATGAGCACATAATCAAATCAAACGTGTACAAGAAAAAAAATTTTTTGTTTCAAAAAAAATCTACCGGGAGAAGATGATTCGATATATATATATGATTTGTGAATAGTTTAAGGCAATTTCTATTTCGAGCTACGACAAAAAAACAACAACAATTGCCTGCCATTAATTTTTGCTGCTGTTGCTATTATCAACAATTATTTTTGGCCATTATTAATAATGAGCCTTTTGGATGATCCGATCAGTTTTTTTCATTTTCAAAAAAAAGACAAACGAAACAACACTACACCCATTTGATGATGATCTTCTACTTTCGATCAATTAGACTTCAATAGATTGGTGGATGGATCATCATCATCATCATCAAATAATGAGCAAATTTTGAAACAAAACAAAACAAAACAAAAAAATAATGGCCAGAAAAAAAAAAAACAAAATCAACTTGATTCTCATCAGTGAATAAAAATCACTACTGGTAGCTCTTTTTGTTTGTTTGTTTCTATTTATTTTGCTAATGACACGATCATCATCATCATCATCATAGTCAACAGGTAATAATAAACAACAATAATTTTCTAATATTTGCCCATTATGTAAATCTCGATTTTTTTTTTTTTTTTTTTTTTGGTAGTCAACGACGTCTTCTTTGGAAGTGACAATTTTGTTCCGACGATTTTTTCTTTCTTTGATTGAAACAATGTTTGGTTTTGCGATATATAAATCACAGCCAATAATAATAAAAAAGAGACAACGAAGAAAAGAAAAGGAAAAAAAAAATTTTCTGCTCTGGTTATGATGGTTATCAAAATTTTATCATTTTTCATTATGGCAAATAAGAAGAAGAAGAAGAAAAAAAAGAAAGAGAAAATTGACGAGATAGAAAGAGAGATGAAGAGATGAACACAGACGAACCGAGAATTCAAAAACGACATGATCCATATAGATTATGGCACAATTGGCCACTGTCGTTCCAATGGTAAACATCGATAAATTTTGAATTGAAAATTGAAATTTTTCGAATCTCAATCAACGAATCTGATCATCATCATTATTTTTTGTTGTCTTTGTGCATGTGTCTCTTGTGTATGTGTGTGTACGGTGTTCAAAGTTTGTTGTTGTGCAATCATCATCAAATGTATCATTTTCATCAATTCTGATTAGCGAAAATTTTCACTCATCAATTGAATCAAATATTGGAAAAAAAATCTCTGCAACAAAACTACTGTAAAAGTCAAAAATGTATTATTTTCAATTAAATATTCTACATTTTGCTATTCTAATGTTGTTAAGTGAAATTGTTTCGGCTGGTGGTAAGTGTGAATGAATGTCTGTGTGTGTGTGTGTGTTTCCATAATCATTTTTCATTTATAAACAATTAATAAAATGAAATAACAAATAGGATCGGGACCTGTTTTGATCAAAATGGCTGGTGATAAAAAGGGTAAAAAAAAAGGCGGCGGTAATTTGTAAGTGTGATTTTTATTTTGATTGATCGATTGATTGTTGAATTAATTATTCTTTAAAATACAGAATATTAATTTCCGGTGGAAAATGTAGTGGTCCAACATTGATCAAAGGAGGTGGTGGCGATAAAAAAGGCGGTGGTGAACAAATGTTTGTTGTTTCATTCATATTTTTTTTTTGTTTATCAAATTTTGAAATTTCATTTTTTTTTTTTTTAGGATTTTAGTAGGTGGACAAGGCCATTGTGAAGAGAAAAAACAGGTTCATGTTGTCAAACAATTAGTACCGGTACCATATTATGTACCAAAACCGGTATATAAATATATTCTTCGTCATCATTATGTACCGGTAAAACAATATATTATGAAACCAGTTCCGGTTCCATATCCGATGAAAAGTTATAGTAAATCATCATATGGTGGTGGTAGTCATGATTCTGGTTATAGTGGTGGCGGTAGTAGCTATGGTAGTGATAGTTCATCAAGTTATGGATCATCATCAGGTTATGATTCCGATTCATCATCAAAATATGGTGGTGGTTATAATGGTGGTAATAATGGTGGCTCATCCGATGGATATGGTATGAATTATGATGATCCAAATGGTGCAGGTAGTGAACCAAATGGTCAAAATTCAATGGCTGCCGGTTATAAAAGACAATCATATGATTCAACACCATATCCAATTTCACCACAACAATCAATGATGATGGATGATCAAGGACAAGGTGTTGTTGATAATGGTGGTGGACCAAATGATTATCAGAATGGTTTATCACAACGATCACCAATGGGTTCATATAAAGCGGCAGCAACAAATAGTTATTATTTTGAATCACCAACATCATCATATGGTCAATCATATTCATCATTTTCGCCATCGAATCATCCATCAAGTAGTATGAATTATCCATTATATGCACCGGTTTATAGTGGACCAAATGGACAATATTATACGACAAATCAAGTGTTTAATGATACTAATGGTGTTGGTGCATCAACATCGAATCTAATATCACCATCAGCTTCATCATCATCATATGGAACAATTTCTGTACAACCAACGGCCATTGAATCGGATTCAAACACTAGTCATTTAACCGGTGTATCATCATCATCATCATCATCAAGTCATACAACAAGTTCATTACAATCATCACCACATGATTTTCAACGATTACAACAACATTCATCATCATCATTGGATCGATCATCGCCATCATCATTAGTATCAACATTTTCAAGTAAAAAAATTAGATCTAAAACAGCCAAAATGGATTTAGAACGTACGAAAAAATTACTAACCGATCCATTTTCATCATTAGGTTAAATGAATAATGGTGTTGATAATAGAAAATAATCGTCAACTCTCATTCTCTATCGAAAACATTCTCACACACACCACAAACATATATTCCAATCAATTCATCATCATCCTCATAATCATCATCTCATCAATGTTCGACCTTATTATTGACCAGATAATCCTTGAATCAATCAATTAATCATACACGTACACACACACACACACACTTATCACAATTACAACCACAATCATCCTCAGTACCTGTCTCGTTTTTTTTCTCACTTTTCATTAGCATTTAATCCATTTTTATTATCTCAATTTTAAACTTAATCCGTTTTTTTCACATTTCATTTATATCATCAATTCATCATCATCATCATTTCATATATATACACAAATATATTATAAATGTCGTACATAATTTTCTTATTTGTTATCTTTTTTTTTTTTTTGCTTCAACTAATACATTAGGATCGTCTTTCTATGATATATACAAATTCATTACATAATCATAATCATCATGATTTTTTTTTTTTTACTTTAGGACTTTTAAACACACACACACACATGAAATATCCCATTTCACACAATTATATTAATTATTCAACATTTTTATCCATATGTGAACTATCCTTTTCCATGACCCGATTTTTTTTTCTTTCCATCTCTTTCACCCTTTTCTTTATAATGATTCTGTAGACAAAAAAAATGACCATGACCATTCAGAAAAAAGATGAAAAAACAACAACAATCGTAGATAGTCTTGGGAGAAACAGAATGATTTCATGAACGAAAAAAAAGAAAGTTCCATTAACCCATTGACATTAGATAGATTGATTTGATGATTGAGAATTTTGAAAAATTGAAATTTTCATTTTCATTTTGTTTTTGTTTTTTTTTGTTATCAAAAAGCTTTTTTCTGTCTGGAGCCCATTGCCCTCCCACGCCACCAAGATGATTAAATGATTTGAATTTTTCCCTAATGAACCAATTATTTGCTTGTTTTTAGCTAGAATTTTTTTTTTTTTTTTTTTTTTAAAAACAACAACAACAACAATAAAAACCGACAGATCCGTAACGAGATTCGAATCAGTAAATTATTCCCATGACCAATTTCATTTTGATTTTGATTTTGCTGTTCTTATTTAAAGCCTAAAAATAATTAAAACTTCCTCTCTTAAAAACAAAACAAAAAAAAACGAATGAATTCCGCAATCAGATCGATTGATCAATCGATCGATCGATCTAAACAGGATCGAAACGAAAATGAAGAAAAAAATCCAATAAGAGTTAAGTGTGGTTGGACGAAAAATAAAAAAAATGTCCATTTCCTTTGATTCAGATGAATTTTTCCATTTCTATTTCGATTGTAGTCAGATCAGAAAAACAAACAAACAATTTCATTCGATTTTTGGTGATGGTCATCGATTGAATGAGTGGACATCAATCATTATTTGGAAATTTTGTTTGTTTGTTTGTTCGTTGTTTTTTTTCTGAAAAAAAACATGGCATCATTATCAATTTCATTCATATTAATTATTATTATTATTACCCAATCATTATCGATGACCAATTCATTATCAATGATGATGATGATGACGATGAATAAAAATTTATGTTCAATGTATAATAATGAAATTAATTTTGTTCAATTAACATCATCATCGAATGAATTGGCCATTATTCCATTATGTGCCATTGATGGTGATCATCATCATGATGAAATAATAATAATAATAATAATCGTACGATGACAACAATAATAATACGATCACCATATCAAAATGAGAAAATCATTGCTTATGATATTCATTTACAAAAAAATCATATATGGTTCATCACTGATAATCATCGATTATATCGTATGAAAATTGATAATCAAAATAATCAAATACAATTAGAAGGTGAATATCGTTGGTTTACAATAACACAATTGGCCATTGATTGGATACATAATCTTCTTTATATGGTTGCTGATCAATCAGACATTATTCTTACATCGATCGCTAATGAACAATCACCATACGTACCATCAATTAATCGTCCAACATCGTTATTATTTTCATCATATCGTCGTACGATAAGAAAATTATTAATCTGTCCAGGTTTATCGTTACTTGTTTGGCATGAAATTGATTGGTCAGATGCTAATGAAAATCGTTTACAAATAGCACAACAAGATGGTACTGAAATGGCAATGATTTATAAAAGTCGTACATTCATATACGATGTACAGATTGATCAATCGAATTATGTTGTCTATTTTGTGACAAATGGACAATTAGGTGAGATATCATTACAATCACCAGATGAATATCATCAAAATTCCGATGCCATACAGAAACATACACGAATGTTTCGTTTACAGAATAATTATGTAAAAAATTTCAATCTTATTTGTAAGTTGTTTTTTTTCTGGTCAAATCTGATCATTTTTTTTCACCAAAATCTTTTGATCTTTAGATCCATATTTTGTTGAATACAAATACAATGGATTATTTGCATATAAAATTGATTATATAAGTCAAACACTTGAAGATCAACCAACCAAACAAAATTATTTGGCCGATTTAACTTATTGGTCATCTCGTTTATCATCGAATCAGGAATTCCATTTAATTCATCGTTATACACAACCAAGTGGACAAATTGAACCATTATGTCCATCATCAAGAAAATCATTCTGTTCTGAATTGTGTGTACCGAATGGAAATCGATATAGATTTACATGTCTTTGTTATAGTTATGATAAAACATGTGAAGATTATGGACATTATAATCATGATGAAAAAACTACAACAACCACCACTACAACTACTACTACGACCACCACCGCCGCCACCACAACAACGATGAAACCAAATAAATTACGTTCGAAATTTCGTAGTTTTTCAGATCCAGAATTTTGGCAACACTATAACCAAACATCTGGAATTAAAATCCATGACAATATGGAATTGAATAAAAATATCCGAAAACTGTCATCATCCAACATGGTTCATATTACGATTCCTTTTGCATCGTTACCATCATCAACGACAATGGCAACATTGAAAAATATTACCGAACAATCGAAAAATTCTCTTGCGACATTATCATTATCATCATCATCATCGACAACAACAACAACAACAACAACAACAATCACACCGATGACAAATGATACTGAAATTTTAATTTGAAAAGAATCCATCGCTATTTCAATTTTCATTTGCCAATAATATTAAATCACATATCATTCAACGGCGAAATGTTTGGTATTCACGCTACATTCGTATGATCAAATTGATTGGCAATGAACATCCATACATATTCATCATGATTTGTACATTAACAATGGCCATAATAATTTCAATAATTATCATTTCCGTTTTATTGATACGAAAATTACGATTATCAAAAAATTTTATGAAAAATTCAATCGATAATAATGGTATGGGTGGTGGTGGTGTTGGTGGTGGTGGTGGTAGTGACAACAAAAATCAAATCAACAACAACAATAATAATGAGATTTTATTATCATTGATAAATTTTGAAAAAAATTCATCACCGCCACCACAACCGGAAAATAAACAGGAAATTGAATCAAATATGATTGAAACATTGATTTACAACAACAACAAAGATCAACAAATTGAAGATTATGACGTTGATGATGATAATCATTCTATTCAAAATGAACAAACTATTTTGATTCAACAACAACAACAATCATACTGGCCAGAAAATAATCTGAAAAATTTGGCATACAATAATTGGGAATATGAAAACAATAATAATAATGGCCTTTTGAAATGGAAAATGAATTCATCATCATCATCATCAACGCATCATCAACAACAACAACAACAACCTTCTATCCATCATCATATGTATTGTAATCTAAGGCCAAAATCACAAAATCTAAAAATTCCAAATTATCTATGAAAAAAAATTTTTTTTTTATATATATCAGACTTTTTTTCAATGAAAAAAATATTTAATTTCATTTATCAAATAATCATCATTTGTCAACAGCAACTACATTACCATCATTATCATCATAATCACATGGTGGTGGTGTTGATGATGATGATGATGATTCATCCATTGAGATAGATGATAATTTTTGATTCAATTCTGATTTGGCTTCCATTGGAATTTTGTTTTTCATGATTGAATTTTTATCTAAACCACCACCACCACTATTGTTGTTGTTTACTTTTATTGGATATCGTTTTCGATTTTTCGTGGCCGTCGTCGTCGTCGTCGTAGTCGTTTTCTTTCGTACATTCGCTTTAGATCGATTAACTGGTGAACGAATAAATGATGAAATATTTGTTTTAGTTAATAATCGTGTTTTCGTTCCATATGCGGGTTTCTTTGTTGCTACTAAACTTTCTGCATTTGGTTGATCAACATTCGATTGAATAGGTAACGGTTGCTGTAGTAATGGATTATCGTTTGCTATCAATTCATGGCCAAATGTCGGCAGTGAAGTTTTATTTGTAATTATATTATTACTTATAGATGCCAATGTAATATTTTCCATTTCTTGTATTTCTGGTATCATAGTACTTGCCGGTGTTGTTGATGATGATGAATTCAAAGTTTCATTCGAAAGTTCGTTTGTTGATGTTGTTGTTATTGGAACTGCCGTAGTTGTTGTTGTTGTTGTATTCTTTGATTTTTCTACAGGATCCTCAACAATTATTGTCGTTGTTGGTGTCGAAGAATTTTCAACATTTTCAAAATTTGCATTATTATTTACTGTTGTCATTTTTGTTGTTGTTGTTGTTGTTGTAATAATCATTGTTGTAGTGGTTGTCATAGCAGTAGTAGTTGTTGTTGAATTGGTATTATTTGTTGTTATCGGTGTACTATTTGAAATAGAAGTTATCATAGTTGATGAATCATTTTGATTTTGATTTTTATTCGGATCCAATGGGGTCGAAGATGTCATTATCATCGATACGGTGGTTGTTGTTGTCGGTGTTGTTAAATTAAATGTTGATTCATTTTCCGATGAATTGAGAGATGGCGTTAGTGTCATTGTGAAATTTTTATCATTTTCATTTGATGGTAATTCTGTTGGTTTTATTGTTGATAATTCTGCTGTTGTTGTTGTTGTTGTTGTCGACATTGATTCCGATGTTGCTGTTGTTGTTGTTGTTGTTGTTGCAGTATCATTCAATGTTTGCTGTTGTTCCACACAACTTGCCCATAATGATAATCGACATTGATTGAAACGAACATCAAATTTTCTACCATATGAACAATATTTTATTGTTGCTTTACCATTGACACATATCCAATAACGATCACATTTTCGATGTCTAAAAAGGCCAAATCTACGTGGACAAATAAATTGTTCATTTGAAAAACATTCAGCATTTGTATGATAAACACATTGTTTTTGTTGATAATCAAACAATGTTAATGGTGGACAATGACGTCTATATGCATATTCCATTGAACAGATATAATAACCAGTACAATCATTTGGATCGGGTACGGTACCAAATTTGGTATCATTACATTTACCATCACTTGTTGCAAGTGACCATATATCATTCGAGCTTTGATATGTTTGTGGTTCTTCTGCCATCTTCATCATCATCCATGATCGATATAAAGGTTGATGATTTGATTCGAATTCATTTTCTTGAACAGTAGCATCGATAACAACTATCGATACAATCGATAGAAATAATACGATGATGTATAAATGATTCGACGATTTCATTTTTTTTTTTTTGATTTTTGAATTTGAAATTCAACTTGTGTTTTTTTTTTTTACAAAATGATGATCAATCACAAGAAAATCAAACGGTTTTTACCCAGAATTATATGCTGTTTTTCTATCTGAAAACAGTAGAAAAAAAAGTGGACACATTACATTGTTACAATTCATTCATTTATTTGTTTTTTATCCTAGAAACCAAACCAAACCAAACTAAACTAAAATAAAAAAATATGCAAATTTTCTGTATCATCCAGGAAGTTTGGTCATAAAATTTTTTTTTCTACTGATCTTGTTGTTCATCATCAATCGATCATGATGATTTGATTGACAATTTGAAATTTTAGTGTAAAAAAAATGGAAAACACAAACAATCCAACTGACCTAAATTCTAATCAAAAAAAAAAAAAAAAAAAATTTCTGGGGATTTTTTTTTGCATTTTCTCTATTTCTCGGTTTCTGGTTCCAACAAAAAAAACGACTTCAAGGTTAAATGATACAAATATGATGATGATGATGATGATGATGGCAAATATAGAACAGATGAATGAAGGAAAAAAAACACAAGCAATAAATTATTTCGACCTAGATTAATTGAAATTGTAAACGCAACACGCACACACACAGAGAGAGAAAACACGCAAAGTGAAACCCAGAAACGATGAATGAAAATGAAAAACTAGAAACTACAGAAAACTTTTTGTTGAATTTAAAGAAAAAACTTTTTTTCTTAATAATTTCCATTTTCTTAAATTTTCATTTTCATTTTCATTACACAATTCAATGGCTTGATTCTTCCATTACAATCTATTGATCGGTTTGCAATCAATAATAATAATGAAAACAAAAAAAAAAATCAAATTTCATTCTCATGGGATCCCAATCATGAATGGGATTGTTTTTTGTTCGTTGGAAATCAAGAATTTCAATGCTGATTTTTTTTTCATTTCGAAATTCTTTTTTTTTCATTGGAAATTTTTTTTCTCTCTTTTTCATCCACGAATTTCAATTGGAGAATATATATACTGTCCAACAGCGAGCGATGGACAAAACAAATTGCAATTTTCCATTTTCGGTAAACAAAACAAATCCAAAAAAAAAAAATGAATGAATGAATGAATGAATAATAAATACGATACATCAATTTTGATCCAACGCTCCGGTATCTACTAATTTTCATGAATTTTTTATTTGAAAAAAAAAAAAAATTTATTTTTATTACCATGAAACTATCAAACACACGTAGCACACACATAATTTCAATTTCATTGATGATGATGATGATGATCCAGAATCATTTTTGGATATAAAACCATTATCATCATCATCATTGATCGAAAGAAAACCAAAATTTAAACAAACAAAACACGTACAAATTTTTTTTTTTTACTACTCAATCACCAATCATCATCATCATTTGGCCTTACATACACTACAAAATATATATATAAATTATTTATTCAACCACTGTTTTTTTTTCTTACTTGGTTCGTTTGTGGTTGTCCATCTATTTGTTTTCGATAATTAAAATAATGATAACACATGATGATGATGATTGAATCTTTTGTTGTTGTTGTTGTTGTTGTTGGCTAACAAAATTTACTCATGATGAAAAACAACGATAAAATCCATTTTTTTTAATAATAATCATAATAATAATAATAATCTGTTTGATGATCAATGATCAATGATCGATAATTGCTGATTGATGATCGTGTGTGTGTGTGTGTGTGTGAAAAATATTTGGATTTTTTTGTTTGTTTGTACGGCAGAGGGGGACTGTGTTTGTCTCTTTTTGTGTTTTTTCAATGTGTGTGTGTGTTTTTGATTTTTGTTTGTTTTTTTTTTAGAGAAATACGCTTTTTTCGATTAATGAATGAATGAATGAATGATCGATAATTATCATGATAATCAAATATTACAAAACTAATCAATTAATTAATCAAAAGGAAACAAAAATGTGAATAAAATTGTTATTTTTTGGTTTTGCATTCAAATGTGTTGTGGACAAAATTTTTAAAATGAAAACAAGAGAAGAAGAAGATTCAATCTTTTTTTTTAATCGTTTGTATTTGTGTGTGTGTAGGTGGGTAGGTATCTGTGGTGTTAATTTTTTTTTTTTTTTTGTTTCTTCTTTGAATAAATCATGAATGATGATGATGATGATTATTGATTGAATCGAATCGAATCAAATTCCTTTTCCATTGTGTAATTTATTATCCACGTGAACCAAAGAATGCTACACCTTTGCCACGTTTTTGATCCGTTTGATGGTATAGATTGCTTATTCCACCATCACCACCCCCACCGCCACCACCATTGACACCACTAGTACCAATTACACCGGATCTCAAACTATTGTTGTTTGATTGAAAATTGAATGAAATGAAATTATTATGAATAAATTCGGAACTTACAATCGTGTTGCTGATGGCTGTGATGATTGTACATTGCCAATACCGGTCATAAAACGGCCATAATAATTTGATCTTGCTATTGGTGGTACAAAATGATGATGTTGTTGTTGTTGTTGTTGTATATTACCAATTAATTGATTATCCATTATTGATTTACGTCCACGCATTGGCATAAATGAATTGATACGATTACGTTTTTCCAATAAATCCATTAATTCTAATTCATCACCATTCATTATTGGTGATGTGATCATCATTGTTTGATCCATTAAATTATTATTATTATTATTGCTACTAGTACTACCAAAAACATTCGATAATGATGAACCACTTTCCATTGGTGGTAAATCATTTTCAAAAATATTATTATTATTATTGTTTGTATTATAATGATAAATTGATTCCAATGATTTACGGCCACGCATTGGTAAAAATCCATTTGCACGTTTATGCCAATCAAATGTTGGTTCAATCATGAAATCAAAATCACCATTATTATTATTATTGTTATTATTATAATCAATAAATCGTGGTAATGATAATGATTTCGATGATGATGATGATGGTGATTTTTTGATGATCCACCATTATCAGCCACTACATTAGAATGATCGGATGTTGTGAATTTTTCCGTATCCATCAATGTTGCCTGTTGTGACATTGGTATTAATATTGCTGTGCCAATAATAATCATCATAATCATTTGATTATTAGCCATAATGATTGATGATGATGATGATGAACGATTTTTTATTGCTGCTGTTACGACAAATGTTGACATTTTTCGTACAATTCCAATCATCATCATTGCTGTTGTTGTTGTTGATTGATTTGATTTCTGTAACATCATCATCATTCTATTTATTTCTGTTCTATCAATGTGATGATGATTTCTCTCTCTGTGTGTGTTTGTTTGCAAAATGATCAAATTCTTGATTCAAATGCAATGAATTCTTTTTTTTTCTTGAATCGCTGAAAAATGTTGAAATTCTGAAAAAAAATTCAACAACAACAAGAATATATAATCAATTTATGTCACTTTTATTGATCACTATTGTTTACACACATACAAACACGCAAAATTGACGAAATCACAAAGTTTACTATTACTTGTGCAATAATGATGATGTTGCAATAGAATAACGGTTGTTTTGAAATTTTTTTTTTATATCTGAAATTCTGGCAATAACACGCAAAATGATGATAATTCAATATTTTGAATTTTATTCTTGCGATTATTCGATTTTTTTTTCTATTCTGGATAATAATAATAATTTTTTTTTTTTATTTTTGGTTTGAATTTTTTTTTCAAAATGAAATTATATTTTGATAATTTTATGCAACGATGGTTACCATTGATCGATTTTAGTTATTTTCTGGAAATTTCTTTTTCTGTTTTGTTTTGTTTTGTTTCATTTGAATATCGACAACAATAATTGAATGATGATGATGATGATGATGATTCAAACGTGATCTCGCTGTTTCGTTGTTGTTGTTGTTATGGTTGTTGTTTTATTGTGTGACACTTGTATTTATTGGCCGATTTTATATTTGCTTGCTTGTCCACTTGGTGGTTATTGTTGTTGTTGTTTTAACTGCCTCTTCACAACTGATTCGATGATTATGTAAATGTGAATATATATTTTTTTTTCTCAATTCTTTGATTCTAGACAACATTGAAAAGACTTTTCTTTCTTATTCTTTTCATATGCGATTCTTTATTTACCCATCATCATCATCATCATCGTTGTCATCGTTATCGTTTATATGTATCTGTACATTTTGGATACCTAGATACACACACACACACACACACACGCAGGCACTAGCTGGGCGGCTTAGTTTTTTTTTCTCTCTCTCTCTCTTTGATATTCTTTGTTTCTCATATACACCATCACACACACACACCGATAGAATTCTACCAAACATATAGAATTTTGCATCAGCGCAATTGAAACAATCATCAACATTATAATCATCATCATAATGGTACACACATTGAAACTAATATATGGATTTGTATAATGTAGATGCATACTTTTCAATTCTCATTCTGTATATTCTGTGTATATATTGTATTTATGTTTGCATGTGTGTACTGAGATTGAATTGATTTTCATCACTTTTTTCTCTCTCTCTCTCTCTGGTTACCGATAGGTATTGTTATATTACCTGAAAAATGAATAAAGAGAATGGGAAATTTTCCACATTCTTGATCTCAAAATGAAAAGAAAAATGTAAATAGACAAATTTTAATCACCGGAAACCAAGAATTTCATTTTCATTCCAGTTCTCCACACAAAAAAAAAATTTTCTGAACAAGAATTGATCGATATATTAACAATGAATAGCCCTTTTTTTCATTATTATAGATTGTAATTACACAGAATTCTAACCAAACGGACCCCTTTTCCCCTCCCCATTAGCATCATCATCACCACCACCATAATCATTAAATGGTTACATTCAAGAATAATGATGATAAATTGATTTTTTTTTTATTTCGCGTTCACATCATCATTGATTTATCATTTGTGTTGAAATGACTTTTCCACTTCTCCGTCTCTAGATGATAATAATAACAATTATTGTTATAATTATTATTACATGTGATATATATGGATTTTTTTTCGTCCCCCCAATGTTCCTTCTATCAATGATGATGATGTCATCAAAATTCTGATCATAATGATGATGATAATGATAATGATAATGTGTAAATTGTCATTTTGTTTTACGACCTTCTTTTTCTGTTTGTTTGTTTGTTTCATTACCTGAATTCATCATTATTGAAACAATGTGCCAAATATGCTGTCACATGATGATGATGATTATATAACAATTGGGTGTATCTGGTTATGGCAGCAATATTAAAATTGGTTCGATATTTGTTTGATTTTTTTTTTGTTCACCCTCATTGTTTCCTAGTTTTTTTTTTTTTGTTTTCTTATCGATTTTTTTTTCACTGTCTTGTTTGCTTTCTTTTTTCCAGTGACTTTTCTTTTTCGTCTCTACGGTAGCCAGACGTTTTTTTTCTTTCATTCGCTTTCTCAAAAACACAGTCATAACCATAGGTGTTCATAATGAATTTCATTTCATTTTTTCTCATTCAATCATGACTTTTTTTTCAGTGTTCCACTTCAGAGATACTGGTTCGATTTTTTTTTTACCATACTTATTATGAAATGCAAGAAAAAAAATCAAATAATGACAAAGTATTGCATTCGAAACAAACAAAAATCTTTACGGTGGTCATCCATGATGATGGTCGAGTTTTTTTTGTTTGTTTGTTTCATGAAACTACCCGCTTATTTTTTTTTTCTCTGGTTGATAATAATGATTATAACCACATGAATTGAACAACCAGCGATTGATGATGAATCAATTTTTTTTGTTTGTTTGTTTGTTACAATCCAATTTGCACAAAACATGATTAACATCGTTATATTAAATGATGATGGTGGTGGTGGTGGTGGTGGTGATGGTGGTGGCGTGAATAAAAACCAGTATAATTGACCTATCTATCATTAAGAAATAAGAAATAAGAAGGAGAAAACAATTTTCAATTATCCAGATTTTTTCTTGAATCATCAGTTAACGATTGGAATTTTTTTTGCACACTGCATAGCAACTGTAATGATCTGTAGTGAAAAATGTTTTTTTTTCCTATGTTGATCATTACTTGAATAAAAAAAAACACAAGACCAGGTATTTTTTTTCCATTTTGATGGATGTTGTGAATTTTGTTTTTTTTTTTCTGTTTTCCATCCACTGTGTGTGTGTGTGTGTGCGATTTTCTTGGTTCTGTTTTCCATTAGAAACCGAAAAACTCTCTAGAGAGAGAGAGAAATGATTATTTATCTCGATGAATAAAAATCAATCAATTCACAACAACAACAACAAAAACAACAACATTTGGTGAATGGAAAATAAAAAAAACTTGATCCCAGCGAACAAAAAAAAAAGAGAAAAAATCGATGAAATCGAAATGAAAAAAAAAAAAAAATGGAAAGAAAGCAAAAAATCGATAATTTCGCAAGAAAAAAACAAAATTTTTTCGGTTTGCTTGGTTATGACGACGACGATGATGATGATGATGATGATGATGATGAAAAACAGCCAAAGAATGATGAGGAAAAAAGGTAATTAATTAATATCAAGATTTTTTTTCTGTGGATTCTGAATTCTGTCATTTCTCGAAAAAAAAGAAAAACTTTCTGATTCCGGTTACCTTCTTACCTTAGTTTTGCAGTGTGCGTGCTTGTGTGTAATACGTTTTTTTTGAATTGAATTGAATTGAAAAAAAAATCCCATTTCATTTGAAAGTGAAGAAAATTTATTAATTTCCGGCTTGTGAATATATATTGATTTTCTTTTTCTGGGGGAAAAAAAATATTTTTGTCTTCATACATACTGGATCGGGCAATATGAATGGTTTCGAAAAAAAAAATAATCCATTCTGTGTGTCCGAAAAAAAAAACAGTTTTGTCCAACAACCATAAACGTGTTGGCATGATTTTGCCACACCATCTTTATTTAACACAAAAATTTTCCAAAAGTTTAAAACTTTCATTCGGTTTAAATGTTGATAATGATGATGATGATTAAATTGTCATTAGTGTAAATCTAATGAAAAGTGGTGAAATTTTTTTTTTGTTTGCACAATTTTCATGTATGTTTGCTGTACGTGCTTGGTTGCGTGTGTGCGTGCGATTCTGTGTTTCGGTGTGTGTGTGTGTGTGTATTCCAATATTCTGTTCCAGAATCGATATTATAAAACTTTTTTCCATTTTTTTTTTTTTTTTTGGTGAAAAACACACAAAAATTGACGTAACAAAATTCACAAGAATTTTAAATACAAAAAAAAATAATCTCATCATCGATTGTCTTGTTGTTGTTGTTGATGATGATGATGATTATGAATGGAAACAAAAAACTAAATGAAAAATGGTGTTGGCAAAAATAAGAAAAGAAAAGAAAATAAGTTGTTCCAATTTTGGTCATGTTATGATGAAAAGAGAAAAAAAAAATCCAATTGGAAAGTTTTTTTTTCACAAAAAAAAAAATTTCTCTCCCTACTTGTACTTCAATGCTATTGTCCGACCAGAAATCCAATTTTATTTTCCATTTTCATTATGAACACTATCTGATTGTAGTTGAAACAACAACAACAACAACAACAATAAAATCTCAACAAATTTTGTGTATTTTTTCTCTTTGTTTCGTTGTTGTTATCGGACCGAGTTGAATTTCCGTTTTAATCAAGAAAAACGCACACAAACACACAAGA